GCCTGCAACTCAATGCCAATTACTGCTGCCTCCTCCTGCCACTAATTCCACCTGCCTCCCAAGGGGGCCAGTGCCCTTCTTCTTCCCTCCCTCCTGTCATCTTTCCCACCTTTACCAGCCTGTCGCCAACCCCACCAAACCCTTTGCCTGGGTCTCCAGCATCCCTCTGCTATTTCCCTGTCTCCCAACCGACTCCAGCTGAGACCCCTGTGCTGTGCCTACCCGGCCCCAGAAGGCCCAGTAAAATTTACCTCCTGTGGTAAGTCATCCCTGGGAAGGCACACAGCACAGAGGAGTCAGGGAGAGGGGGACAGCAGGTGAGCAGGAGCAGGGCCAGAGCCACACCAGGAGGTGTGTTATGCAGGGAGCAGGAAGAGGAGACAGCACTCACACTTGCCTTGAGATGAGCGGCTACTAGGGATAAAGAAGTGAATGACCAATAAAATCCCATCGTCTCTGGAGATGCCTCTGATTTCTGAACTCTTGTGTCGGACACTCTTTGGGACAGCACCATCACAAACCCAACCGGCTCTTCTGAGTCTGGCGATAGATACCCTTGGCCAAGGCTACCCCTAGAGGGTGACACCAAGCCGGTGGTTCAGAAAGCAAACACTCTGAAACCGAGAAATCCAGCCAGGACCACGCTGAGGAGGGACAGATTAAAGGGCGCAGTTGCTATTTACAGTTCCCTTTCCTGCCTACTTATTAGGCTTTGCATTTCCTAAAAATAAAAAAAAAATCCCACCTCCTGAGTTCCAAAAGAAAACATATTTATGGTACATAATTAGGCTTTAATTAAGATCTCCTCTGGGTATGTGAGACAACACACACTTCTAGCACACTCAAATAGGCAAATAGACGTGACCTATTATTTATGCTGTATAGAAAGCTGCCTGTTAAACCCAGGCATCGTTGGCTCTTGCAGCAAAGCTGTAATTCTTCCCATGATCCAAAGGGAAAAAGAAGCTTTCCCAAGAGACATCTCATGGTGGAACCTTGGCCCCTCTCTGGCACCAGCAGTCAGGGTGGTATCAGAGAGAGGGAGATTCAGGGATATGTTTTCCTCTCTGTTTGCATTTTCTTTGTGCCCGTCAAGCACTGTGTCTGTGTACAGCAGGTGACATGAGGAACCGGGCAGTAATAATGTGCATGGACTTGACATAGACAGTTGAGTGGGCTTGGCTCTCAGTTGTCAGGATCTCGTATAACTATGAGACTTCTACTATGTTTTTTAACCTTTCCTGATCAAATTATGAAGTGTTACCAATGACAGGTCCCTGGCAGTATCAAATGAACAGAGGCAGATGCCTTTTATCAAAACAGCTGTTCAGTTTCTAGGCTCCTGGATGCTCAGATACAGGAAGAAGGTATGGGCTTTATGTTGTCCAGAACAAACTACATACTTCCCCAAATTCACTGGCAGACAAGATATGGAGTTTCCTGGGAAACAAACTCTCCTCTTTGCTGTCAGGTGAAGGACCTTTCTCCCAATAGAGCTATGGCTTAGATTTCATTCATGATTAAGATATGCACCATGCCATGGTAAGGACCATCATAGAAAGGTCCCAGAGGTCTGTTCAAACAGATGAACCCGGTCTGCATGGCATCTGGATATAAACTGTGTCACTGAGGTCACCTCCTTTGTGACTGTAAGTACATATGGCAGAGAAAACATCTCCTGTGAGTTTGCTGTCTTCTGAATCTCAAGGGCACTGCAAGGCAGAGGTCTAGGGTGCAGCCGTATCAGAGCATAGCCATGAAGGTCATGACCAAGATGTCTTACTCATCCTTGTAAACCCTCAAATTATCGTATAGCCGAGACGCAGAAGTATTTGTTGAGCAAATTATAATAAAAGGAGTTGCTATTTGCCTTTCGGATTTTTATTTTTAAAAGAAGGCTTGTGGGAAAGAGTCAACAAGAGTTACAAAGGAACAAGAGCGGCTGAATCAGTTACGCACCTGTGAAAGCTCCGTAACAATGAGTCTCAGCATTCTGGTGGAAGTGACTTCCGGTTTACTACTCTTCGTGGTACTACATGCTCTATGAATGAGGCATCTGCCAGTTTAACAGCTAATGGGCGCCAGATACTCAATCAGCCCACATACGTATATTATTGCTAAATGTTACAGTAACCTAACAAGAGAAGATAATCCCACTTTGCAGCTGCAGAAAATGAGGTTCAAGTTGCCAAAGGGGATGGATGGGCACTGGCTCTACTAACGGTAGTGGGTTTTTCACCAATGGGTCTGGTAACAATCTCTAGTTGTTCAATATGTGTGTTTGCATGTATGCGTGTGCGTGTGTGTCAGAGTTTACTCATACCGTATGTGTACAGGTACCACATGGGTTGGAAGAGGCTTTCGGTTCCCTGGAACCGGAGTTATACATGGTTGTGGGGTTCCTTGACAGGGTCCGGGTAGGGAAAGTGCTGGAAGCCAGACCTGGATTCTCTGCAAGAGCAGTCGGTACCCTTAACCACTGAGCCACCTCTCCAGCCCCCGATGCTCAGCTTCATTACTTTAGTTTGCTGAGGATTTGAGGAAAAATAGTAATAGTTTGCGAAACCATTTAAGCGACCTGATGCCTTGAATAAAGAAAGCAGCTTTCTGAACATCAAATGTAACTTTTAGATCAAATGAGTGTTTCAATTTAAAAATTAATTCTTAATTTTAAAGTTCCCCATAGTTGGGGCTGAGTCATCTCCTTAAGCCCTGCCAATCATTCCAGGCAATTATCATTGGTCTTGGAGAGTAGTGTGCAACACACAGCTTAGAGACCGGTGTCCTCAAGGAATTTACAGTCCACTGAAAGAGGAAAAAAAATGAAGAAAGTTTGCAATATTTAAATATTAGAGATGATTAAAGACCAGGATGTAAGGGCTCTGGAGTCAAAGCACTTGGTGGTCATAAAACCAAACCTTGAAGAATCATTAGGCTGGTGCTGGCTGGGGGGAAGGCAGGCTCTCTCCTCATCAATGTGGATGGAGCCAGAGCGGCTGTCAGCGTTGTGAGACATTCTGCCTCCTGGGCTGACTCTTCTACTGACAATCAAGATGAAATCTCTCCAGCACCTTTGGACCAAGTCCTAACTTACTGGACTTGGCCTGCCCCTGTTCTGTCTCTTCCTCGGTGTATAAGAATACAGTCAGTGTCTGGTCTGGTGAGAAGGCCCAGTGGGTAAGACACTTGCCGTTGGAGCCTGACAATTTGAGTTCAATACCCAGAACCCAGGTAAAGGTGGGAGGAGAGTGATGATTGCCTAAAGTCATCCTCTGACCTCCACATGCCCACTACACACATGTCACACACACACACACACACACACACACATGTCACACACACACATGTCTCACACACACACACACACACACACACACACACCAATAAATACAGTTTTAAGCAAACGTTTAAAAAAATGCAACCCATGCCTCTATTAGCTGGGAGGTGGTCTCTAAAGGCTGAGAAGAAGAGAGACGAGGCCTCTGGTGACTGGGAATCCTCTGGCTTCAACCAGCACACCTCTGGGTGCTGAGAAACTCCGCCAGAGGCAGCAGACACACCCTTGGACCATCCTCCCCTGCTTCCTTCTTAGAGAAATCACGTCTCAGCACCCCCCCCCCACCTCACGCTCTCCTCGGGACACACGCTCATCTCTAGATAACGTCTCCTCTTGTCCGGCTACAGCCACAGCGTCTGTTTGCCCTATGCTGACCTGTGCCGCCATCAGCTCTCTTCTAACAATGACTTCCCCAAGGGGCACGGGCCTCTGTCTCGAAGCCCACTGTCACGTCCTCCTGGGGCCAGGCAGAAATCAGTTGGCTTGCTCACTGGCGTGCATTGGCTTACACGGGATGCCAGGGAGAACTTTCATGCCTCCCTGAGTCTGGGTGGAAACTATTCACATAACCACAGACTATGCTCAGGAACGTAAATCCAGTTTTCTTCACATGCCAAGAAAGCCTGGGCTCACACACGCCAAGCAGGGTTTCGTGCCAGCTTCACCCCTGTGCTGGCTTCTGTGAAATGTCTGAATCTTCAAACGGGATGAGCCAGGACAGTTCTCTCGGGGGCGTAGCATAGATGTTGATTTAACTGCCGTGTGACCCCAAGAACTTGTAGAGATGCTTGGAAAATAAGAAACTCTCCCCACATCCCTTTGCACTGATGCCGAATACTTGTGAAGAAACTCGATGCTGTTCGTGTCAATTAGAAGCCTGGTTCCAAATGAGAATTATGAGAAAACGTTCCCTGGGAACTTGGGGCACAGTGGTCAGTGTCTTCCAGGGAGGTGGGTGGGCATGTCCAAGGAAAAAGGTAGGTATTCCCAGCTGCTTGGGACTGTTTCCAGACCACATTTGATGCTAATATGCAACCAGCGAGTGGAGGTACACAGGTACTAAATATGACTCCAACAGTAATGAGTTCTGGGGGAAGCATAACATTGTGTGCCCTGGGCGCCATCTTAACAGCAGCAGCACCTGTAGATAGGGAGACATGCCTAGAGTAAGAGGAAAGAGGAGCGGGGAGAAGACTCAGCTTTAAGGGCACTTGGTGATCCCCCAGAGGACACAAGTTCAGTTCCCAGCAGCAGCACCAAGTGACTCACAAACACCTGTAACCCCAGCACCAGAGCCTCCATGGTGCCACAAAGACCTATACACATGAGTCTGTTTGTTTTAATGGGAAAGGATCCCTTGCACCCCCATACCACCCCACCCCCGCTGCAGGAGTCCAGGGGGTGAAACCCTATGAAGTAGTCACACTATTTCCTTATTACGGGTAGGAAAACTGAGGTTGGAGAGGTGTGCCCAAGCTTTCATGGCTACAAAGGGATCAAACTAGATTTCAAGTCCCTCTCTTCTCTGACCTATTGGCTCAGTGCTTTTAACTCCCTACCCCCCCAACCCCTCCACACATCACCTTCTACCTTCTTTGATGATGTATTTTTATACAGAAAGTGTTTTCCTATTAATATATTGAAAAGCTTTTGCACCTTTCAGCGGCACAGGCACCAAAGATTTTATCAAGGAAGAGGAGGCCAAACCTGGGGAGATTGACGGTGAGCCCGGAAATGCACAGCCCAAGAGCATCTGGAGAGAGAAGCAGACAGAAACCACAGCTGTCTGCAAAGGCACTCCTGGGAGCAGGTAAGGACTGTGGCTGCCACCTTGGTCCTCGGGGAGAATTGACACGTGCTAGTGCCTTGTGGGTTACTGCGACTTGAAACCATCTTTGCCTTTAAGAGACAGAGTTGTCTTTAAATGAAGCCCTTGAAAGGTTCAAACAGTAAACTACTTAAACACATTTTTATTTTCTCCAAGAGGCTAGTGGGAAGAGGAGTGGGTGGAGTTTATCTTTTACTCCTTTCTCCCATTACACCATGAGAATGACTCACTAGGGGGAGGTGCAAACCCAGCCAGCATGCAGTTCTGGGGAGGTCCCCACTGGCTATAGTGCCCACACACCCATCAGGAGAGGAAGACCGACGTCCATGGGTGGCAGACTGATGGCCGCCCTCGGGGAGCTTTCCGCTTGTGATCCAGGGCAAGCACACCAGCGTGATCTTTTAATGTGTAAGAAATAGCTTCAGAATGAAAGCCGGCTTCATTTCAGAGCAGTCGCTCAGTGGGCCTTCCTCTCCAAGGCTCAGGCCTGAGCTGGCATCAAAGGCCCACACGGTGCAGTCAGCTGACCCTGCCACCCTCTCCAGCAGCAGCGCCAGCCTTCCTTGAGAGAAACCGTGGGCATCACACCTCAGTATTGGCCGAATACAGCAGCCTTCCTATTTAAAGGAGATGTGTTTAAACAGCGATGAACACTTACAGAGGAACCTGCGGATGCTTGGTATTAGGGGCAGCTGGAGTACAGATGAGTCTGGAATGGCGACACATCCTCAGGGGCCAGTGACAGAGTGCCTCCAGGAGGCAAGGGAGGGCATAAGCCTTAGAGCAGACTGCCTGTCTGAAACTCTAACTCCCCTCCTCCGAACAGTGGGCACTGTTGTGCCAGATGCTGGTGGCACAGATGGCTGGTAGCCCCACTATGACAGAGATGTTTTCCTCTCCTACCTGTGGAGCAGTGTAGAATAAACCGTCTGCAAAGGAATTTGGCAACAAGTGTCAAAAGCCTCTGGAAGGTTCATACCTTCCAACCTGCCAAGTCTTCTGTCATCATCCTCCTCTAATAAAAAGAAGACATGCCACTCAAGGTCAGCAAGCAAGGCTATTATTCACCACAGTGTGATCTGTGCCACAAAACCTCAAAACAAGAAAAAAAAAACTACGTGTGCATGCATGTGTGTGGCATGTGGTAAAGTGTTTGTTTTGCAAACATGAAGACCTGGGTTCTATCCCTCAGAACCCATGTAAAAATTTAGATATAGTGGCATCTCTCTGTGATCTCAGTGCTGGGGATGGGGAGGGTAGGGGAAGGGGCATGGCAAAAATAAGCAGGTCCCTGGAGCATGCTGGCCACCTAGTACAGCTGCAATGAGGTCCCAGGTACTGTTGTTTTGCTGTGATGAGACACCATATCCAATACAACTTATAAAAGAAAGCATTGGGGGGCTGGAGAGATGACTCCATGGATAAAAGAAAGCATTTACTCAGGGGATTGCTTATGGTTTCAGAGGGTGAGTTCACGACCATCATGGTGGGGAGCATGGCAGCGTCTTATCCACAAGCCCTCAGCAGAGAGAGAGACAGAGAGAGGCAGAGGCAGAGGGAGGAGAGAGAGAGACTGGGCCTGAAGTGACACACCTCCTCCAACAAGGCCACACCTCCTAATCCTTGCTAAACAGTCCACCAACTGGGAACCAAACATTGAAACATGCTAGTCTATAGAGACTATTCTCATTCAAACCACCACAGATCCCGTTTTTAATAAATAAGGCTGAGAGCCAACTGAGGAAGGCACGCATGCACAAAGATATAGATAGATACAGATATATATAGATAGATAGATCTATATATGTATATATATATATACACACACAGCAGGAAAAGAAAAATTGAAGACATTTATGGCATATTCATATTGCATTGTAATTATGGTAGTATTCTTGATGTACAGTAGTGAGCTACCTTTGGGTTTTTTGTTTGTTTGTTTGGTTGATTTTTTTTTACAGTGCCTCCAGATAAGAGTTACAAGTTCACGTCTTCAGGAAGCTGGTAGTTATGGGAAGAGAAATACAAAAAGAGTGTTGAGGCCTGTGGTAAACCACAGCACACATTTCTACCTCAAGTACTTTACTCAGCATCCAAAGGCTGAGCCGCAGCTCTTGCAGGGTGGAGATGACCTGGGGGTTTGAGTTTGTAGCTCATCCCTCAAGTCCAGCACCTGAATTATATCCAGCCAGGCTTTGGTTATGGGAGCCTTGGACCATTTCATCTTCTATAGTTCCTGAGTTTTCTCCAATGGTCATGGACCACATTTATAACAAAAAGCGGAGGTGAGGGTGAGAAAACGATATATTGTTAGAATTCAGGGCAGCGCTGGTGATGCTCACCAGGAAGTTTAAGACCAAAGGCCTAGTCCCAGGCCAGACAAACACTTCTTCCCGTCTCACTTCAATGAGCCTAGACCTCCTGCAGGCAGCAGGCACTCAGTCCACAGCTGGGGCCAAGGCAGGGCCTCTGAGAAACATCCAGCAGCTAGAAGGCTGAGGCCCCAGCTATGAATAGCACATCCCTGACATGCCAACTGAGAATTCCCAGCCCACAGCTAATGAAGTGTGCTCTGTCTTTGATATATACAGATACAGACACATGCACACACATGAAAGAAAGGGTTAAAATAGCATAAATAAAGAATGGCACACCTTTAGGGAAAAATGTGCGCACGTGCGCGCACACACACACACACACACACTCACATGCAGCTCTGGTTGAATATCAAAGATGAAGGAGATTGTGGTGACAAGGAGGAGTTGTCTGAGGAAGCCTCAGGACCTTCAACACAGCACATAGCAGAGACTTCTGCCTCAGGGACCTGTGTCACACCACGACAGCTCGGCAGCTTCTGTGGAACGATCCCAGGGTTCCTATGAGTGTCCAGCCACCCAGCTGATTCTCTCATCCCCGATCCAAAGGCTGACTAAATCGGCTCTTTGCTCCAGGGCCTCCCCTTGCCGTCCTACAGATGGGGGTGTTCAGAGAGAGGAGGCGGCTCAGGGACAGCACTGTTTGCTAATTTTGGAGGTCCTTCTCAAATTCAAAATGTGAAGTGATCAATCAGATCCTACACTTAGACTTTGCATCACTTTTCTTCTTTAAGAAACAGGGTGTGTGGGAGAGGGACCTGGAACTGACTTGTGAAGCAACCTCGTTTCTTATCTAAATTTAAACTGGAAAATAAAAAAAAAAAAAAGAAAGAAAGAAACAGGGTGTGAGGGTGTCCATTGGAAAGTGTTTGACTTGCAATTATGTGACCTGAGTTCAATCTCAAGAACAAGTGTGTGTTTGGGGGGGTACATACTTTTAAGCCCATGACTGGGACAATAGAGACAGACAGATCCCTAGAACTCACTTACCACCAGCCTACCTGGTGAACTCCAGGCCAAGTGAGAGACTCTGCCTCAAAAAAAAGAAAAGAAAAGAAAGAAAGAAAAGAAAGGTCAGCACCTAAAGTTGTCCTCTGACCTCCATCAGAGGACACATGGAGGTCAGAGGACACACACACACATGCCAGAATTCAGTTGGCTGTGTCATAGATGGCACTAGTTCCCCAAACACGGATCAGCCCAGAAGGTTGGGCCTCCAAGCTCTGCTTCTGTTCAAACATAGCCAAATGCTCAAAGTGTCCTTGAATTGTTGGCACATCTCTTGCTGGGGTTTACAAACCCCACAAGGGGCCCAGTAGGACAGTTTAACTGATCTCTGGAAGGGCTGATGAGTAAAGATTCGCACTGTGTTGCTGAGTGTCCCACGCAGCTAACAATAAAAGAAGCTTACAGAGCATCAGGACATTAGAGAGGCGAGCTGCAGCTCCCCTGCAAGGCACCTCAATTAAAGGCAGTATTGACTTGGCCTCAGCAGAGCCGGCTGCTCAGCGGATTTGCATTTCCCCCAGCAGAGCTGTTATCAAGGACCTTTGGGATCCCGAGGCATCCTGTCCACTCAACAGGCGAGCTAAGCGATAAGGACAGTAGAGCATCATCAGATCTGCAGAAGAGCAGAGACGAACCCACAGGGGGTTAGGCGTGTCTGTGGGGAGGAAGAAGAAGCGGAATCACAACAGCACTTTTAATTTTTTACCCACATGGGGTGAAAAACCCTTAACCACATGTGTGCATTCCATTGGTCCTCATTTCTTGTGTGGAAATTGTAAAGCCCAGGGAAGGTTTTTAGGGCATTGCCCAGGGTAGTGGCAAAGAACACAAGCCCTAGCAATACGGTCACTACCCTATATCACTTACTAGGAATACAACCTCGGGCAGGTCATGTGACCTTCCCCTAACCTTGGCACCCTATGTTGGAACATGGTATGAAGGCAGTATCTATCCCACAGGCTGCAAGGCTTCTCTGAGTGGATTAGCTGGTATGACTAGTCAGCGTACTTGGTGAGAAGTGCTTATTTGTACAAAGTGAGGTTTGTTTTCTTAATGGATATGTGTTGACCTGTATGCAGGAGCATGTGGAGGAGGGTGTGTGTGTGTGTGTGTGTGTGTGTGTGTGTGTGTGTGAAGACCAGAGGACTGCATTGGATACCATTATCATCAGGAATATCACCCAATTCCCTTGAGACACAAGGTCTCTCAATGGCCTGGAGGTCACCAGTTAGGCTAGTCTGGCAAACCAGTGAGTCTCAGGGATCCTCCTGTCTGTATGCCCCACCCCCAACCCCATGCTGGAATTACAGCAATTTTACTTGAGTTCTTATGATCCAACTCAGGTCTCACGCTTGTAAGGCAAGTCTGCCACAGACAGAACCACCTACCTCCTCAGCCTCACGAAGTTAAGTGTGAATAAGTCATCTAACCTACAGAAACTGACTCCCTAGACACTCTCAGTCCCTTCTCTCTCTCTGTCTCCTCACATCTTGCAATCCAAAGGCAGGGATTCTGTGGCAGCCATATGTTATAGAGGCCAATGGCAAAGAAGAGATAATAATTTCTTGGGAGATTTATAACTTTTATTTACACTAAATAGTGAACTTGATCCCAATCATCATGCACCTAGACACTAGCTTCAAAAACCTTCTCCCTTGTCTACCAAAAATGAAACTATACTTTCTTTGAGGTTTTCAAAAGCTGTGTGTGAAATGAGGATGTCATAAATATTTGTGGGATCAGTTTGGATGAGAAAGGACCAACGGGGTTTATGTAAGTCACTCCCAAACTGCTGGCTTTCCTTTTTGATAAATACAGAGAAGTTTAGCTACCCTGGCTGAGCTGGCCTGAAGCTGGACCAGACTTCCTGAAGATCCTGCAGAAAGAATCTGTGGCTTCATGGTTACCCCTTCTTCTGAACCACATTCTGAGTGCCACAAAGGTAACCCACACACAGGCAAACTCACAGGTGTCAGTGCCACAAATGTGAACTCAAACACACGAACTCACAGTGCTGCATGTGAACCTCCAAAAGGAGAACCCAGAGGCAGTAAAGAGAAACTCACCATGAGGTTTTCCTCCCAAGCTTCTGGTACCTCCTGCCCTTGGACTGCTCTCTACAGGGCTTTACCTGGTATCGCTGCCTGTGGTAGACTATCATGCCTGGCAGAGAGGGGCTTTCTCCTGTGGGTACCTTTAATAGAATTTGTTTCTTCTCAACACAGATCCAATTGTCCAACCAGAAAGCCCGATGTGTGCAAATGAGACTAAGCTGAAGAGGCCAACTCTAGAGAGAAGAAACTTAGCCTCATCCTCAGAGCTCTCGAGAACAGGTGGGAAGCCCCTTGAGAGACAGAAAAAAGGAGACCCAAGTGTTCGTTCCCAGAACGAGCCCCACGCTGCCTTCTCACAGACCTTCCAGCCAATGAACGGTTCTCAAGTGCTGAGTGAGACCCTGGGGCCTCCACTCCTACCCACCCCTGTGGTAGGGCCAAGAAGGGCACCATTTAGGTTCCACGATGAAGATTTTTACTCTGCATTATCGTTAAACAGTGAACAAGAAAACTATGACACGGAAGAGGAAACCCGCATGGAAGAGGAACTTCTATTGGTTAGGATGCGTTCTCCTCCCAGCCATAAGAGAAGCCGATTTCTTGGGACATCGGCCACTCAAAATAGAAATGTTGAGGAAAATGCTGAAAATCTCAGAGGAAATTCTGTAAGATGGAGCAAGGCCAACCCTGGATCTCCAGGAAAAAGCGGCACCACAGAGCCAGTGTCAAAGCAGCCTTCTGCTGAGCAAAGGGTAATTCAGGACAGCAGGCTGCGTGGGGAGTTGGCTACAGAGAACTCCAGTGGAGACCAAGGAGATGAGAAGACTGCTCTTTCAGGGGATGCCACATCCAATGATGTCATCCGAGACAGTGCTGAAGATGGATCCAGTGACTGTCCTATGGAAGCCAGGCCTGAGGCTCACCATCATGAGAGAGACTGGCAAAGTTACTTACATGGCTCCAGGAATTCATTCAACTGCTTACTTTCAGGGAGACCTATAGCTCCAAGATCATCTATGAATATGTCTTATAACACTCATGGGCCACTGCTGCATTCTGCTCTGATAGATGACATCCCAGCAAACTTGTCCATGTCATCTATTCTAGTCCCCAGTTCAGACATAGAGGAAAACCTAAGGTTCAATGTACGCCGGCCACTCTCACCGATCAGAAATAGGAATCCGGTGGCTACTGCTGAAAACCACACTGATGACATCCGGGGAGAGGAGATGACGGCTTCAACAAGCCAAGCTCAGGGATCTCCACTATTGGCAGAAGATCTTTCAAATCCTCAAAGCAGTGAGACCTTGGGGAATTCTCCCAGCTCTTCTACAAGACAACACTTGCAAGGCCATTTCTACATGCCTGGGTCCCTGCCAGAAAGCATACCTTTTACTTTCTTTGCAGTGTCTGATTTTCCAAATCAAAATGATCATGAGGACAGCATTAGAATCCATGGTGTCAATGATGAAAAGGGGGCCACAGAAATAAAGGCAGACCCCGAGAAACTGAGGAAATTGCAAGAAAGGTAAGGACTTACTATAACCACACACTTCCTCCCTCTCCCACCCCCCACACTCCGAGCTGAGATAGCCTTTGCTTTCATTAGAGGATCATGGGACTTTAGATCGCAGACATGTTCTTCCTTGACATGTTAATGAAATTGCTCATTTTGAGAAAATTGTCCCATTTTATTGCCCTTAAAAGATGTGTATGTACAAAGAGGAATTTGGCAATCCCACTCAGTTTTATCCATATATCCTCCAAAGTATCTTTTCCCTAGAATTCTATAAGAAGGGCACCAGGGTGATGGTGTCGCACGCCTTTAATCCCAGCACTCAAGAGGCACAGGCAGGAGGATCTCTGTGAGTTCAAGGCCAGCCTGGTCTACAGAGTAAATTCTGACAGCCAGGGCTATTATACAGAGAATCCCTGTCTCGAAAGAAAGAAAGAAGAGAGAGAGAGAAAGAGAGGGGAGGAGGGAGGGAAGAGAGGGGGAAGGAAGGAGAAAAAAGAAAGAGAAAAGATTGAAAAAAAGGCAAAAGAAGAAAAAGGGCAAGGTCTGGCCACAGCACTGTAGGTAAAGGTGACAGTCCCAGAGCTGAGTCCATCCCAAACCCCATAGAAGTGACTCTCCTAAATTGCCCTCCAAACCCCATAGTCCCATAGAAGTGACTCTCCTAAATTGCCCTCCAAACCCCATAGTCCCATAGAAGTGACTCTCCTAAATTGCCCTCCAACCCCATAGTCCCATAGAAGTGACTCTCCTAAATTGCCCTCCAACCCCATAGTCCCATAGAAGTGACTCTCCTAAATTGCCCTCCAACCCCATAGTCCCATAGAAGTGACTCTCCTAAACTGCCCTCCAACCCCATAGTCCCATAGAAGTGACTCTCCTAAATTGCCCTCCAACCCCATAGTCCCATAGAAGTGACTCTCCTAAATTGCCCTCCAACCCCATAGTCCCATAGAAGTGACTCTCCTAAATTACCCTCCAACCCCATAGTCCCATAGAAGTGACTCTCCTAAACTGCCCTCCAACCCCATAGTCCCATAGAAGTGACTCTCCTAAATTACCCTCCAACCCCATAGTCCCATAGAAGTGACTCTCCTAAACTGCCCTCCAACCCCATAGTCCCATAGAAGTGACTCTCCTAAATTGCCCTCCAACCCCCATAGTCCCATAGAAGTGACTCTCCTAAATTGCCCTCCAACCTCCACATTTACACTGCCAAGCACACACACACACACACACACACACACACACACACACACACACACACACAGGCACAGAGTAAATGTTTTTTGGTTGTTTTTTTTTAAGAAATATAAGGGAAAAAATAGAAAGGCTAATTTTCAGGGACACAAAGACACCTGGTAACACAGGGCTCTCTCTGCTCCTCTCCCTGACAATTAGCTAGGATCTTCTTCCTCTTCTTCTTCTTCTTCTTCTTCTTCTTCTTCTTCTTCTTCTTCTTCTTCTTCTTCTTCTTCTTCTTCTTTCTTCTTTCTTCTTTCTTCTTTCTTCTTTCTTCTTTCTTCTTCTCCTTTTCTGAAAAGGTTGCTAACTCCCCAGAGAAGGAACCATTCAGTTCTTGAAGTTCACAGCTCTCCCTCCAGAGACTACTGCAAATTCAACCAACAGTTCTAGAATTTAAACCTTCCAAACCAAAAGACCATTCCCAAACGGTTACCATAGTTACTCCAGTTCTCTGAAGGGTGAGACTGAAGTAACCATTGCGTTCATTTTAAGTTCTCTCTCTCTCTCTCTCCCTCTCTCTCTCTCTCTCTCTCTCTCTCTCTCTCTCTCTCTCTCTCTCTCTCTCTCAAAACAAGATCTTGTTTTGAGTTGCGTTTTCTTTGATCTTTCCTTTCTCCTGAGGTGAGTTTGGGATATTTCACAGCTATGAAACTGGAAACTTTTTAAAGCCTTCATTAAACACTGTCAGAATTCTGCCATCTCTTTTATGATAGGTGTTTACTGGGCCCAAATCATAAAACTGATTCCTAAAACATGAGCCCTCTTTGTACATGTTGGTATGGCTCCTCCGGACCATTAATTACCCTATCGATGTCTATTTGCAAGCAGGAAAATTTCACCACAGTGAATTAAGAATGGAAAAAGAAGGGGAAAATAAAAGAATGTACACACTCCTCTTCAGAAAGAAAAGCTTGCTTTTCTTTGTTTCATATGTATGTGTGCACACGTGTGTACATGCACACCAGTGTGTGCACATCATGTGTGTGTGTGTGCACACGTGTGCCTGTCTCTGTGTGACCATATAAAGGCCTGCACTTGATATCAGGTGTCTTCTTCAATTGCTGACCACTTTATTTGTCGAGGCGGGTTCTCTCAGTAAATCAGGGCCCTCCAGTTCCTGCTAGTCTACCACAACTTTCCCCCAAGGCCCCCATCTCTGCCTCTCAAGTCCTGGGATTACAGGGGGCTCCACACCTATCCTGCTAAGTAAGAGTTTTCTAGTTGTCAGTGTCTTGTTTTCGTAGTTAAGCAACTTACAAGAAGACGATCCATGGCTAAGTCCAAGAGACCTCACACACCCATCTTTACCAACCCCGAAATGTAGCTTCAGACATAGTTGTCAGACGTCTGGACTCCAACCATTCCAACATAATGTCTTTGGATTCAAAATAGTTTCTCTTCTAAAATGCAAGTGCTTCTAGACTTGGGCCTCTGCATTAAACAACTATCATTCACGAGTGTTTGCTTATCGAGTGCTCTCTCTTTCTGTACATAACAGATCTTAACATTTATCTTTTCAAAAATGTCCATTTTAGGAAATGTTTGTAAATGAAGATTTGTTTGTTTATTTATTTTGAGATAGCATGTGAATATGCAGACGTGGCTGGCCTGGAACTCACTCTGTAGATCAGGCTGACGTCAAACTCATAAGCTATCTGCTTGCCTCTGCCTCCCAAATGCTGGTCATTTGTGGGGATTTTCCTTCCTGCATTAAGTAGTTGTCCTTCTGGTGTAGACTGGCAGATGTGTCATGCATCCTGTGCTCCACAGATGCTGAGTACACCCATCCGTGTGACAGGTCCCTTCTGCTCTGTTAGTCTTGCCTGTCTTCCCTGACCTGGTGTCATAACATCCTAATGCCTGCAGCATTCGGAGGCTGAGATAAAGGACAGTGTACAGCCTCCCCCAGGTTCTTTAGAGAGTCTTTGACTACACACGTGAGGGTCTGCTTGCTGGGGCTCTTTCATCGGAATTCACTGAACCTGTGTGCTGTTTCAGTGATGCTGACATGTTGAAATGCTGGTTCTTGGTTTGCTCTGCGTCTCTCTCCTCTGTGTCTTTATGCAAGTCTATCGTTTTCTGTACAAAAGCCCTTTGATTCATCTCTAGTTCTTTCGTTTGCTGTTGTTTGCTATTGAAATGATATTTTCAATTCTAACTCTTTGTGCCTCGTGTATAGAAATGCAGTTGACTATAATTTTTATTTTCTCTGTGTTTTGTTAAACTCTCTTATTGTGTACAGCACTTTGTAGATTGTTTTGGTTTTCTATATAGAAAATAATTTTTACTGGGAACAACATTTTCATTCCTCTCCTTTCAAACTATGTTTTTAATGCTGTTTTAACTCTACAGTATTGTATCAATTTTTAAAGGATGGCTGGCTTTATATTAAATGTTTATTGCCTTTTGATGATTCTCCATTCAGAGCATAACCCCACTTTACATATAATAGTATCTAGAAACATACACCTGTTGATCAAAGGGAACACACATGCCTAAGATTCATAATGTGCATTATAAAATCACTTTTTAAGAAAGTTCTAGGTGCTAGGGAGTAGAGTGCTTGCTGTAGTCTTGTGAGGGCCTGAGGTTGGATGCCTTGCATCTACATAAAAATCCATGCTGAGACAGGAGACTCCCTAGGACCTGCTGGTCAGCCAGCCTAGCCAACTGGTGAGCTCCAGGTTCAGTGAGAGATCCTGTCTTAAAATTCAAAGTGGGACAGCGCAGCATGGTGGCGCACAGCTCTCAGGAGGTGGGCGTGGACCAGTCTCTGTGAGTTTAACACCCCACTGCTTTATGTAGCATGTTCCAGGCCAGCCAAGCTACACAGTGAGACCCTGTGTCGGGGGGAGGGGGGGCAATAGAAGAAGACACCCAACATCAACCTCTGATCTCCACGTGCACGTGTGCACGCGCACATACACACACGCACATGCACACACAATCAAACCCTGGGATATCTGTCAATCTGTCGTTCCTTACAGGGCTTGCATTTGCTGCCACACAAGACCACTCAAATGTTCATAATTATTTTCTTCTAGTATTTTTATATTCTTATTTTATACAGCATAGTGCAACAGTTCTCAACCTGTGGGTCACAACGCCTTTAGGATCGTATATCAGATATTTATATTAAGATTCATAACAGAAGCAAATTATAGTTATAAAGTAGCAATGAAATAATTTTACTGTTGGGGAGTCACCACAACATGAGGAACTGTATTTAAGGGTCACAGCGTTAGGGAGGTTGAGAGGTTGGCATGGAGACTGGCATGGGCTTTTTTTTTTCTTTTACAGTTCTAGTTTGCATTTGTAAACATAACTCTAAAGCTTTGGAGGCAAGCTTTGAAACCAGGAGCTCTGACTATGACTCCTGTGAGTTTACCAGCTGACATAACCAGCTTCCTCGGGGTGACTAAGGCAGAGAGAAGGGCTCTCTCGGCCTAATCACACACACACACACACACACACACACACACACACACACACACACCCTCACCACCGTTTTGTACTGATGGGAATGGAAGCCATGACCTCCCACGTGCTAGACAAACACTTGACCACTGAGTTACACGCCCCATCTTGCTACTCATTTCTTGATTGGTCCCTTCCACAGAGCTCACACTTATCAGTGACTGCATAGGAAAGTGTGCATCAATGATCAATAACTTCATCTGGAGAAATCCTCACAGGTTAGAACCCCAGCAGACAGGCGTGTTCCTTCCCCCTTCTCCCATGAGTACCTTGGGAAATGGTATTTATAGAAACAACAAATGTGGGGACTCCTGGTCACGAGGCTTGTTTTCTGTTTAGTCTCCTGGAGGAGGACTCGGAGGAGGAGGGAGACTTGTGTCGCATCTGTCAGATAGCCGGGGGTTCCCCAACCAACCCCCTCCTGGAGCCTTGTGGCTGTGTGGGAAGCCTGCAGTTCGTTCACCAAGAGTGCCTGAAAAAGTGGCTGAAAGTGAAAATAACATCAGGTAGGTGGGGAAGGAAGAGAGGCTGCGGCATATAATTAATCTGAGATGCCAGTGTGGGCTGGGAGCCTTGTCAGCCGCTCACTGTCAGGGAAATTTGGCCAAGCCCAGGGTTCTTGTTTCTAAATGCTGTGATGGGAAGGTAAATGGATGTCGTGTGTGTGTGTGTGTGTGTGTGTGTGTGTGTGTGTGTGTGTGTGTGTGTGTGTTTTAAATCTGAGAGAATCTTGGAAACAAATTCTCCTCCCACATGACACCTGGACAATATGATAAAGTCATCTCCAAGGAGGAAAGAAGAGGACATGGGTGGCCAGTAAACCCTCAGCAAACATCCACTTAGTAGCATGAGATACCCCCCACAAACACACACAGAAGTCTACTTCATTTGGAGGAGGGGCTGGGGAGATGACTCAGAGATTAAGAGCACTTGTTACTCTTTCTGAGAATCCAAATTCAGTTCCTAACACCCACATGAGGCAGCTTATAACCACCTGTAACTCCAGGTCTGGGAGATCTGGCGCCCCCTTCTGGCCTCTATAGTTACTCACACATGTGTGTGCATACACATTCTCATAAATAAAAATCTCTTTTAAAAAGAGCTCAAGCAAAGCTGCCTGTTTGCCGGAGGGTTCAGTAGAGTGTCACTCTGATTTTCTAGATCTACATTAAAGGGCTTTGCATGTGGCAGTTTTGTCAGACTGATCTCAGAGCTGGGTGTGAAGCCCCCTCTCAACTTTCCCAGGAAGTGACAACCTAAATACAGATACATGGGAGGTTGGCAGACAGTGAAGCATGCCTTGCATAATGAGGAAGGAGCTAGAATATCTAAGCTGGGGGAGATTAGCTGAAAGGGTCTCTATCTTGGCGGTCAGGTATAAAATGGCAGCTGTGTCTTTCAGACTACCCTCCCTGGAATTGGTACTCCTCAGCCAGACCCTGTTTCTCTCCTCTTCTACAGCCTTGTCTCTGGCCAGGTAGCAGATCTAGAACTTTATCCTGCCCCCACGGGTTGTAGCCATATGCTTTCACCATGTCATCAGGGTTATCATATTAACTGACACTCTCCCTCCATGGGTGGATTTTCTCTCCCAAAAGAAATACAGAATCAATCCCCAAACACTTAAATCAGTATCTACAAGGAAAGAACTCAATACAAATTGGGTAGGTGTTTGGGAGAGCATCAGCTGATCTCCTTCCCTGGAGAGATGTAAACAAGGTCTACTTCTCCATAAGGTCCCAGTGACGAACCAAAGTATGACTCCACCCAAGTTTAACCTGGAGAACGAATGGGTTCATTGGGCTTACTCAGTGTGAAACGGCTGCACTGGCAAGTCTTCACCCGTAGCCTTCTTCGAGTCACTTCCCCAAAACTGTATACTCCAGGACCTCTCTAGACCCTGGAGCCACATGCAGTTAGGGCAGAACCACATATGGCTGAGAGGAGTGCCCGAAAGCCCAGGGACTCTCCCCACTACCTCCTTGTCAGTGGACCTCAGGCCCTGTCTATTGTGATGGACTCTTGCAAGCAGGCATAGCTAATCTGATGACCATGTGGCTGTGTTGCTTAGAGGAACAAATTCTACAACAGCCATGCAAAGGCTTTCTCTTACGAGAAATTCAAGCCAATTAAACATTTAGCACAGGCCAAAAAAAAAAAAACAAGTTAAAGATGATGTTGCTTTGGCGCTTGGATACGTTCAGCAGGATTAGAATGAAAGATGCATGGATGCCCAGTCAGTAATAGCATTGCTGATGCTGAAAAAAAAAGGAAAGAAAGAAAGAGGAAAAGAAAGATGCCGGCAACTGATCTGTTTCCTAGTAAGAAACATTAACTCAATGCTGCAGCTATACTGAGCGGGGAAGGGGGGTACGCGGGGGAAGGGGGGCACGTGGGGGGAGGGGGAGCAGGTTACCACCAAACAGCCACAGAGGCTCTGCAGCTTCTGTTTTTGCCTCCTCGGGGAAACAGAGCAAACTGGGTACAAGTGGAGCAAGTGCTGGTCACATTTTCATAAGGACAGCAGCGCAGGGAGCCGTCTTCTCCTTTTCCCAAATGAGTCTAACCCAGATACTGTTGTGCCTAGAGTCCTAACCTGGGCCCTCACTCCCTTGCCTCATGTGGGAGGAAAGTCATTGGCCGAGGATAGCATCTTCTGTGGGTTTGGTACTAATTTATTTATTGCAGAACTGTTAGGTCTGCAAGGGACGAGGGAGACCATAGGTCCAACAGTCACTCCTCCTGCAAAGGCCTGTGTTACAGAGGCTTCCTTTCCGGGTAGCAATTCCAATTCTATGAAGCATTATGTTTACATATTTAGATAGAAACAAGACCTGTTATTTAAAAGTTATGGAGACTTCACCTGCCTGAAGCTCAAATAATAAATGACCACAAAGGGAAAAAGATGTTCAGAGCTCAGATTCAAGGTCATTTTCTCCAGAAGATGACTGACTAGGAGAATCACTGAAGCTTGGAATTCATAACACACACAAGTTCAGTTTCAAAATATCTCCTGTCCAGAGTGCAGCACAGATTCAGAGTTGCATATAACCTAAAGGTGGGGGTGGGGGGAGCTGGAGAGATGACTCAATGGTTAAGAGCCCTTAGCTGCTTTTCCAGAGGGCCTGAGTTCAATTCCCAGCAACCACATGGTGGCTCACAACCATCTGTAATGGGATCTGATCCCTTCTTCTAGTATGCATGAAGACAGAGCACTCATATACATAAAATGTATAACTATAAAAATGTGTGGAGAGAGAGGGGAGAGAGAGAGAGAGAGAGGGAGGGAGAGAGAGAGAGAGAGAGGGAGGGAGAGAGAGAGAGAGAGAGACAGAGAGACAGAGAGACAGAGAGAGCTTCCAAACTATACTCCCTTACATATGATTCTTAATTCTTACTCTTGATTCCAGGAGCAGATCTGGGTACTGTGAAGACCTGTGAGATGTGTAAACAAAGCCTTCTGGTCGACCTAGATGACTTCAACATGACTGAATTCTACCACAAGCACCAGCAATTCCGGGTAAGACAATATTGCTGCCACCTTCTCCCTGGTCTAGAGTAGGCAAAGGATCTAGAGAGATGGCTCGGTGGTTAAGAGTACTTGCTGCTCTTCAAGAGGATCTGGGTTTGATTCCCAGCACCCATATGGTGGTACACAACTATTTGTAACTCCAGTTCCAGGGGACCCAATGCTCCCTTCTGGCATGTGTGGGCACCAGGCACACACACTCATACACAAAGATTAAATAAACCAATCATTAATAAATAAAAAGTAGATTAGAGGTTCAAGCAGAAAGTAACTTAAGCTCCTTGGTCTAAGGATTGTAAAAAGCCCAAGTGTGATAAGGATTTGAGTCTATCTGGCTCACTCCTCTGAGAAGGTATGTCACTAAATTTAAATTGGAACACCGGAAAACTGAGAAGTCTTGGCCATCCTGATTGACATCCACCTGCTATTACAGGCAAAAGGGAGAGCCTGGGGTAGCCAACTGAACCCTTGCAAACAGCAAGAAAGTCTGGACAAGCCCCATGTCCAAATTTGCTGAAGTAATTTAATAACAACAACAGAAAATAAACTCAAGGTCTTGGGGGAAATGGTCCCCAACTTAAATATAGAGTATTCTGAGTAATGAAGACCTGCTAACAAGAATGAAGTAAATGCTTATGTGTTCGTTACAACCCACGGGGAGGGTTGGAGGGCGTAGGATAAGTGGAGACAACTCTCCTGGGGCATTCGGATTACATTGCTGAGAATGTGAAAAAGTTAATTAACCTCAGGTGGAAGGTGATTTATGCTCAAGGCAAAGTTAATCACTTAATTCTCAGGCAAACAATCTTCTGTTTAGAACTACACTCTCCAGTAGAGAAGCCACAAGCCACCTGTGATTAATGAGAAGGCGGCTAGTTCTAATCAATACATATTGTATATGATAAATACTCACTAAATCAAATACTTGATACCAAAAAAGGCAAGTAAAATATCACATTTTATATTGAATTTGTACTTGCTGTCCTGGCTAGTTTTATGTCAACTTGACATAAACTAGTCATCCGAAAGGAGAGAATCTCAATTGAGCGAATGCCTCCATCAGATCCAGCTGCAGGATATTTTCTTCATTCTGTGATTAACAGGGGAGGGCATAGCCCATGGTGGTGGTCCTGGGTTCTATAAGAAAGCAGGCTGAGCAAGCCTTGATGAGCAAGTCACTAAGCAGCTCCCTCCATGGCCTCTGCATTGGCTTTAGCCGCCAGGTTCCTATCCTGTCTGAGTACCTGTCCTGACTGTCTTCAGTGATGGACAGCAAAACGAACATATAAGTCAAATAAACTCTTTTCTTCCCAACTTGCTTTTTGGTCATGGTGTTTCATCGCAGTAATAGAAACCATAACTAAGACACTTCCTTCATCTATTTGTCAATACTATAACAAAATGTGTGAGACTGGACAACATTATTAAGAAAACAGGCTTAGAGCTACAAGGGCAGTGGTTGACTACACTGAGCACACACAAACACACAGAGAAAGATTACTGTGTAGATCATGTTCTTAGGTTCAAGGGCCCATATCTGGTGGTGATCTGCTGGCTGGCAGATTCCTGAAGCAGGATATGACATCACATGAAAAGGGACAGGTGTGTGTGTGTGTGTGTGTGTGTGTGTGTTCAGATCTTTCTCCGTCTTGTAAGTCCACCAGGATGCAATCACAGGTCTTCATCTTGATGTCCTTATTTAAGCTTCTTCCCTCTCCCAGACCCTCTTTAAACAATAGGGTTAGGTTAGCGTCCCAGCTTTTTTGTGGATTTTTAAGTTATTGGAGCTTTTACTTAGCATAAAAAACAGCTGGAGGCTGGATGAGACAGCTCAGGGGCCAGAGCACTGGCTGCTCTTGAAGAGAACCCAGGTTCAGTTCCCAGCCCCCAATAGCAGCTCCCAACCTTTTGTAACCTCCAGTTCCAGGAGATCTGACCTCCTCTTCCAGCCTCTGCAGATACCAGGTGGGCTTGTGGCACACAGACACTCGTCCACATAAAACCTAAAAATTCAAGAAGAAACAATGGGTCTATTAAGGCATGTTCAGACATGTATGACTGCTCTTGTCACATTCACACACACTGTTGTAGGAGTCACAGAGGTCTTTGTGCTTGTGATGAGCACTAGGGGGACCTGAAATGTTGGCACACAGGGTTGTTCCCCAAGGGAAGGAATGCAGCGCCTGGCTGGGGCAGACATGTTTTCTAGCCTGATGACCTTTATGCTGTCTGTGTGACTAGAGATTTTTTTCTGCACCACACCCTTATGGGAAGCTTGTTTTTCTTAATCTATAGAGCCCACTTTTAAGGACTTTACGAAGAGTTTCGATGTGGTCATGGCTGATCTTATTTAGCTTACTTTGTTCCTCAAGGAGATTTATGTGTGCTTTGAGTCATGCTGGACTGAGTTAATCATCACCAGAAAATGTTTTACCAACATGTGCTCCACTTAAATATGCCTACAAAAATAAACCACTGGGGGTCAGACTCCAGAAGTTTGAAACAATACTGGCTACTGGTGACCCGAACTGCCTTCTTGTCCGCCTAGGTAGTAGAGACTCCTGTGTACCCTAACCCGTCCTTTCTCCCTTGCCTCTTGCTCATCCCCGTTCCCTCCCCAGATAAGGTTTCCACCGTCATACTTCACAGTGGGTATGTTAGTCAGCTTTCATCCCTATAATGAACTGCCTGGAACTTTGCTTTGGCTCTGGAGGCTGAGGTCTAAGGTTGAGCAAGTCCTATTACGTCGGGGTGAAGGCGGCACACCGCACCGCAGAAGTGTGAAAGAGCAGAGGGAGAAGAAGGTGCTGGAACTCGGTATTCTCCTTCAAGAGCTTGCAGAGTGGCCCGAGGACCTCTGAAGGCTTCACCTCCCAACAGTGTGGCCCTGGGGACCAGGGTCCTAACACCACAACTAGGGAGATTCGGTCTCACAGAAGGGCCCTTGGGGCAGCGCTGCTCTTTCAGAGGACCCAGGCTAGGTTCCCAGCACCCACACGACTGCTCCCAGTTGTCTGCAACTCTGGCTCCAGGGAATCAGACTTACTCTTCAGGCTACCATGGGCACTTCATGTATATAGTATACATACATACGTGTATGCGGTTTACCACTGTCTGTAACTCCAGTTCCAGGAGATCCGACACCCTCCCACAGACATATATGCAGGCAAAATACCAATGCACATTGTGATGGTTTGACCCAGAGGGAGTGGCACTTTTAGGAGATGTGGCCTTGTTGGAGGAAGTGTGTCACTGTGGAGGTGGGCTATGAGATCTCAATATGCTCAAGCCACGCCCAGTGTCTCAGACCACTTCCTGTTGCCTATGAGTCAATGTAGGAATCTCAGCTCCAGCACCATATCTGCCTGTACAGTGCCATGTCCCACCATGATGATAATGGATTAAACCTCTGAGATTATAAGCCACCCCATTAAATGTCTTCCTTTATAAGAGTTGTCTTGGTCCTGGTGTCTCTTCACAACAATAGAAACTCTAACTAAGCCATATGTAAAATAAAAACAGGTACATCATTTCTAATACTTTAAAAAGCAAAGATAGCCTTATACAGGAACCACGTGAAAGTGGAATGAAATACTTAAAAACCCAGCCAGCCTAGAGATCTATACCCTGTAAAATTCTTCTTCAAAACTGGGAGCAAAATATAGACTTTATATTAAAGAATTAATACAAAAACAAAACAAACAAAAACATAACTCTGGGGCCAGTGAGATGTCTCACTGGGTAAAGGTGCTTGCAGCACAAGCCTGGCAATCTAAACTCCATCCCCAGGACCCACGTGGGGAAGGAGAGAACTGACTCCTAAAGTTGTCTCTGCCCTCCTGTGTGACGTGGTACACTCTCTCCCACGTGCACTCTAATGAGTAAATAAATAATTAAATGGCACATTGATAATTTTAGATTATAGTCCCCAGGCTGCTTAATGTCCTTTCAGCAAACACTAGATTTGCACGTGTGGATGCTGCATTCCATGAGGCCCCCGTGTTTAGCATGCTATGCCATCTAGGTTTGTGTAAGTGCACTCTGATGGTCACACAATGAAATTGCCTAGCAACACATTTCCCAGAATGTGTCCCTGGGCTTAAGCAACATATAGCTATAATTATACATTGAAATAATGTTTTAGATATACTGGGTTAATAAAATATCTTGTTCATATTAATTTCACTGATTCTTAAAAATTTCACAAGGTTGCTATAATTTTTCAAATTGCATATGTGGTTTGCAGTTGTGCCTTGGTTTGTATCATAATGCATGGTTCTGATCTAGAAGCAGTCAATAATATTTGTTATTATAAAATAAGTAGTCAATAAATATTTGTTACATGAATTGTCCCAGCATTACTATTATAACTTAAAGCTGCCCTCCCTTATAACATTATCCAAAAAAAATTAATAACCACGGTTGCAAAGCACATAATTTAAAACTATAAAATCATTGTTAACCTAAATGTCTCCCTTAGAGGGGACTCTTATGTCATTAGCCTGTATCCAGACCTTTTTCTGCAAACATTTTGACAGCTATAAAGCAGGTTTGAAACCAGCATGGGTTAATCTCACATAAACAACAACAAAAGCATGCAAAAAGCCCCCATAGTGTACCACCCCAGATGACAGCTTATAACCTTTAGTTGCAAGTCTTTCTTCCTATTCAAATGCTAATTCCCAGGTGCAACTCCAGAAGTTCCAAAGTTGGCCTGGGATGGAGAGAGTTGTCATTGGTTTTCAATTGTGAGGAAATCTCCATAATAAAAAAGGTTACCGCTCAAGGCTCTTATTGAGCATCTACTGTGTGCCCCACGCAGTGCTGGGATATATAAGAGTACCCAAGACCAGCACAACTGCCTTCCAGTGAGGAACAGAAGTGAGCAAGAGTACGGCATGGGAGAGTCAGAACAAGGGCCATGGAAAAGCCCAGGTTTTAGTCTTATTTCACCTGTGCTTATGTTTACTGAGCACACACTGTGCCTGAGGCACTGGGCCAGACACCAGGAGTCCAGGTGCAAAAGGCTTGTCCCCAGACCTCAGGCACAGTATTCATGAAATCCCACTTTTAGTTCTTGCCTCCTGCAGGATGTATTTGTTTTGCAAAATATCAAGGCCACCTGTGTTAGCTCAATTTACATAACGCCTGCAGGAAACAGGCAGAACAGAGGTTACCTGTCCCCTTTTATGAACCGGAGTCGCCCTGGCACTGCACAGTTAAAGTTGTTTACCCAAAATCACAGTGTCAGATGGCCCATCTTGTCTGCAGGACTTTCAGGACCCCACCCATGGTCTCCCGAAGATGTACCCCTACCATGTTTGCTCTGGCACACTGGAGTGTCTCCATGGCCTCTGGCAGTCACTTCTCGGTAGCTCGGGCTTGACCTTCATCTCAGTCAAGGACAGATGTCCTTGGACACGTGCACACTCCTAATCACCTTTAGACCCAGGGCCTGGATTCTCTGGAGCACACTGAAGGATCCAGGCGTCAGCTTCTGCCGTCCGTGATATAGATGCCTACACTTGCCATCAGAGTGAATCTCTTGACCACAAGGACTGCAAAGCAAAGGGAGGGCAGCCTGCGTGACTCACCTGGTAAAGGTGTTTGCCTCTCAAGCCAAGCTACCCAGCTCCACCTCTGGAAACACACAGAGGTAGGAAGAGAGAACTGATTGCACAGTTTTCCTCTGACCTCCATATGTGTGCCGTGACATGCGTGCACACGTACACAGACACGCTTCATGCACACACACGATCCACATGTGTACAATAATTAGTTCATTTTAAAGAAACCAGAAGAAGCTGGGCGGTGGTGGCACACGCCTTTAATCCCAGCACTCGGGAGGCAGAGGCAGGCGGATCTCTGTGAGTTCGAGGCCAGCCTGGTCTACAAGAGCTAGTTCCAGGACAGCCTCCAAAACAATACAGAGAAACCCTGTCTCGGAAAAAAAAAAAAAAAAAGAAACCAGAAGATAGGAGCTGGGGAGAAAAGGGAAATGACTAAGAGGCAAAGAAGCTCCCAGAGCTCTGTCCACAGTGTCCCCTGCTTCTGCTAGTGTCACCACCCCCTCTTCCCCTCCCCCAGTCCTTTCAGACTGATGACCAGGGAAACTCCACTTGAGAGGAAGAGTGACATGTCATTGGGTCAGGGGAGGAGTGGGTCAGGAATGGCACCAGTAAATAACTCTCCAAAATGTAGTTCCCTGGGATCTGCCGAACAGATCTTGTGGGGGACAGAAAGCCTGGCTCCCAGTCACCTGCCAACACTCCTCTTTGATTGGTCAGCCCCTCATTACGACAAGGATATTTATGACTCGCATGACAGGTTCCCTCCCATGGAACAGAGAAGAGGCATGATCTACTAGAAGTGACTTTTCAAATTATCTGCAGAAAACATTAGTGGGTATTTTCCCATCTGCATGCCTCCAGGCCTCATTGAGCCATAAAAAGTAAATGATTTTCCCCCAAAAGCTTTGACAAACCCAATCGCTCCAAGCCATTTTCTAGCTGATTGCTTTGCCATTTCTTGCCAGAGAGTCTGCTCTGAAAGTCATCTCCCCCAGCCCCCACCCCCAGCAAAGAGAGAAAACCCTCTAGCAGAGAGAGTGGGGGCAGGGTTAAGGGGGGCTTGGCTGGGGTGGAAGAGCACACACTAGGAAGGCTTCCTGGAGGAGGTGGCTCTGGAAATGGTCCTGAAAAGGAGCAGTAGGGATGCAGACAGGGAATGGAAGATGTATAAAACAGAAAATATGGGGAGGGGGAGATGCCTGCTTTGGGTCAAGGTCAGAAGAGCACACACACACACACACACACATACACACTCCAAGGCTAAAAATAGGAGTCTAAGTGCTTTGGACAGTGAGTTTCAGTCTTAAAAGGCAGCACAGTACAGAGGCCTCACACAGTGACCTTGAGGCCACTTGTCACACCGAGAACCGGAGATGGCCAAACACATAAGGAAGGGCATGCGGATCCTTGCTCAGCTTCTGAGCCAGCCTTTCCTGGAGGCCACTGGGTCCTGGGAGACTTGGGTTCCGTGCCAACTTCCTGAGCTGCCCTTGATCAACTGGGAATGGGGGGGGGTGGGGGTGGCCAGGGAGCGAGTGCATCTGCAGCTGCAGGAAGAAGATATACAGCCCCAGGTGGCCGCCCTGTCACCTTAATATGTTAACCTGGACACTGTCAACAGTTCTGACCCCTCCCAAGGATGCTGTAAAGGGTCCTGACCCCTGAAGGGGATTTTAGTCCCCAGGGTCTGGGTTGTTCCCTGGGTACAGGCTGACCCTTCCTGGAACACCACCACCCAGGGGATTTGGTGGGAGGACAGATGGGGGGTCCCCCTCCTCCCCTTGCAGAGGGGAGTCCTTACTAGTGTTCATGGGAGGGATGACTCAAGAAGGGCTGTGTAGCACAACCAAGGAACTAAAGACTCAGTTATAAAAGGAAATAATAAACAAGAAAAGGACATAAAGTTGGGGAAGGGATACAGGGAAGGGTCTGGGAGGAGGAGAGTAGAGAATGGACATGAGCAAAATACATTGTATGCATGTATACGTCTTTTAAAATGCAAAACAAACTCCTGCCAATATGCTCTAGCCATACCAGCCTGGAGAAAGTTTGCCCTCTGAATTCCCTGCTCTCTCTCTCTCTCTCTCTCTCTCTCTCTCTCTCTCTCTCTCTCTCTCTCTCTCTCTCTCTCTCTCTCTCTCTCTCTCTCTCTCTCTCTCTCCTCTCTCTCTCCTCTCTCTCTCCTCTCTCTCCTCTCTCCTCTCTCCTCCTCTCTCTCCTTCTCTCTCTCCTCTCTCTCTCCTTCCCTCTCCCCCCTCTCCTCTCTCTCCTCTCTCTCCTCTCTCCCCCTCTCTCTCCTTCTCTCTCTCTCCTCTCTCTCTCTCTCCTCTCTCCCCCCTCCCCCTCTCTCTACACACACACACACACACACACACACACACTTCTGTAATTAACACCCTCTCCCAACCTGCCATCACATCCATCTCCCTCCCATGTGGCATTCAGCCAGCCTCTCCTGCCCTCGGCAGACCTCTGTCTGTGAGCTCTCTCCTGACAGGGTGATCCCACCAGCCAGCTCCGAGCCATTCTGCCCTGTTCACCCCACGGCACTGGCTTCAGTGAAGACTCAAATGTCTGAGGGATGGGATTCAGCCTGGCAAATGGAACTTTCTCAGAGCCCCCTCTCCTGGGTAGCAGAGAACTGTAGGAAGGTGGCTGTGCTCCTTCCCCCCAGCCCCCTCCTGCTCTGTCTTGCCTTTCCCCGGGCTTGAACCCCTTCCCCTTTCTCACTTCCATGCTGTGGCTGAGCCTATGGATATTTTGTGGGATGAACTTTGCGGTTTCCTCTTCCACAAGCAGGCGCAGAGTGAGCTGATGAACTCCGGCTTGTATCTGGTGTTGCTGCTTTACCTATATGAACAGAGGTTTGCAGAACTCATGACACTCAACTACAGGCGGGCTTCCAGAGAGAGGGTAAGTGCAGCTCCCGGGGCGGCACAGCCCAGAACACCACGTGATGTCATCTCCTAGCCATGCCATCTCCTGAAGTCCTCAGGGTCACTTGACAAGGTCCAGGACTGTCACTGTTAGGTCTAAGATTTAGTAGCTGCTAAGTGTCTGTGCGGTGACCTCTGGCTGAAGGCAGGTATAATCACATAATTGCTTACTGTCAAATACAAATAGTAATTAAGTGGTTGTCAGTGGCCATGTAAGTGAAGTGTCTCTAGGGAGACCTGCCCTGCAAAACAGGTGTGCAAGAATGCTGCTGTCACGGATGCTCTGTGAGGGTGTGCAGTTTGCTCAAGCAAAGGGACTCTGTGCAGAAGCAGGTCACTCCACTCCTGAGAGCTGGTAAGCAGCCATACTCCGAGGTGTCAGCTCTGCCGGTTGTGTTTTGAATCCGGGTACTGTGTGTGTGTGTGTGTGTGTGTGTGTGTGTGTGTCCCTAAGGCTGCCAGGAAGTAAAGGTGTTGATAGTGGCCCCATCTGGCAAATGACCATGTATGTACCGGATGGCTGTTCTTTAATAAGGAGGTGGGGCCAGCAAGAATAACATGGATGACGTGAGAAGCCGCCCTGCCACTCAGCAAGGTCAACCGTGCTGGGGGGGGGGCTCTGGAGTCTCAGCACCTTGAGCTCTAGGGAACTTCCCACTTCGTCAAATGGCTTCCCGTGGCCACATGAGGCAAGAACCCTGAGAGGAAAGGGAAGTTGCCCAGTCATGCCAGGGACTGATTGCACCACTAATGTTGGGACTTCCAGGACACCCCTGGAGGCCTTGCTCTTGACGCCTGCTCCTGTCGGCATGGGGGGGGGGACACATGGACCAAACACACACACACACACACACACACAACACGTGGACAAGTCACTGGTGGTACTAGAGGCAATTTCAGCGCTCTGCCTGCCATCCGAGCCCTGAACCCCTCTTTATCTTTGCTTCCTATTTTCTCCTTCTCTTCCTCTCCCTTCTCTGCTCCCCCTCAAGTGGACTGCAGACATCTTCCAACACCATCACTGCGGAGGCTGGAGGATAGTCATTCATGTCTTTACACTTCCATTTCTATTCAAAGCACTGGAGGCGGGGCCAGGTGTGACGGTGCACGCCCTTAGTCCCCACACTCAGGAGGCAGAGGCAGATGGAACTCTGAGTTTGAGGCTAGCCTGGTCTACACGGTAAAGCCCTATTTCAAAAAAAAAAAAAACCCACGCTGGATTTGAAGGCTGGGGATGCAGTTCCGTTGGGCAGAGTGCTTGTCTAGCATGCATGAAGCAATGAGTTGGATCCCCAGCACCACACGAGCCAGGACTGGTGACACATGCCAGCATTTGGGAGACAGAGGCAGGAGGATCAGAAATTCAAGGTCATCCTCAGGTACACAGCAAATTCAAGGCTGGCCTAGAATGTGGGTCATCCTCAGGTACACAGCAAATTCAAGGCTGGCCTAGAATGTGAGGCCCTGTCTCAAAAAGAGAAAATGAGGAATTCAAACCTGTGGTCACATGAACTATGGACCATTTCTAATTTTTTCTGACTAAATTCTTCCCTTATTCCCTGAGTGCTCAATGAAGACAACAGGCTGGGTTTCTGCCAACGTATCTCCTGAGGAATGTCAACCTCTCTGTGGCCCAGGCCTGCCTTTTCTTAATTTTCCCATGGTTTTAATGGTGACATAAATTCTTCATAGAAATAAAAAAAAAAAAGGAAACGTACCAGAAGCAGGAAATGGTCCTTTGTTAATATTTCTGTAACTTCATTTTCATGATCCTGCATCTTCTAATGAGCTCTTTATTACACATTGAACTTCAAAGCATCAGGGTTGATGTGGGTTACAGATGGCCCTGGTGTCAGCCAGCAAACACAAGCAACATCACCCAGTAGGGTTCCAAAGCAAACAGGAGAAGACAGACGGGACATTCCCATGGATGGAAACCAAGGCCCCACAGCATTGCCTCTCAGGAAACTCCTGGCAAGTCTGTTCTGGAAAAGGAATAAGCTGTGCCAGAGGCATGCTGGGAACCAGAGCAGAAGGGATAGGAAGGGAAAAGCAACACACTTTTCTCACCACCAGCTCCCATATAACTTGGGGAACCCTGAAGCACACCCCACACACTCCAAGCTCACAGCAGTAACTGGTTATAAATAGCCAATAAAGAGGCTTCCACATGGGCTGCAAAGATGGCTCAGTGGTTACAAGGTTACAGGTTGCAGATGACCTGAACTCCATTCCCAACACCAACCTCAGGGGGCTTGCAACGGGCTGTAACTCCATCATCTAGGAGATCTGCGCCCTCTCCTGGCCTTCATAGTTAGTGCACTCACATGCACATACCCACACACCCAGACACACACACACACACACACACACACACACACACACACACACACACACATATATATATATACATAATCAAAAAGGTTTTTTTTATCTTTTAAAAAACAAACATCTACATGAAATCTGGAGGCCAGTAGACAGTGTCAAATCCACCTCTTCCCGATTTCGTCTCAGGATTTCCAGAATCTGAGGGTAGCATTTGTTAAAAGAGATTACTGACATGGAAGAGAAACCTCACTCCTTTGCCAGAAGCATGTGAGAAACCTTCACATCGGACTTCTTGCTTATATCTCACGAAGAGACCTTGTGATAAATGCTGTCCGTGGTGGTGACTGTCACTTCCTCACCCCAGCATGCACTGTGCTATCCAGAGGGACTGAGTGGTCAGTCGATTACTTTCTTCTTGTTGTGATAAAACACATAAAAAATTCAATGACTGAAGGAAGGATTTATTTTGGCTCACAGTTTGAGGTACCATACATCATCATAGCAGGGAAAGTGTGGTGGTGAGACCAGCTTATCTGTGATGGCAGGGTCATGAGGAAGCCCACTCCCATCTCGGCAGACCAGAAAGCATGGAGACGAATGCTGGCACTCGGCTGGCTTCCTCTTTTGATGTTTTTTTTTTAATAGACCAGAACTTTCTCTGTACCCCCAGCTGGCCTGGAACTCAGTATGTAGACCAACCAGGCTGGCTTTTGACCTCACAGATTTGTCTGCCTCATCCTCCCCAAGTTCTGGGGTAAAGGTGTGTGTCACAATGCCTGGGTTCTCCTTTTATTCTTCTTTCTCTAGTCCTGGACAACAGTCCGTGGGATGGCTCCACTCACATTCAGGGCGGGTCTTCCCCCTCACTGGTCCTCACAGACACACCCATGGTATGCCTCGTTACATCCTATGTGCTTCTTAATGCAATCAAGCAAGTTGCCTTTCACAGAGGGGGCTCAGTCAAAGAAAGTGACTATGTGACTTGATGTGACACCACGATGTCCTTTCTTTGAGGAGCTTATGGCTAAGTTGAGAGACAAGGTCTACAAATTTATAAAACCAAAACAATAGTAGTGATGACTGGTGAGTAGGAGAGCCCACAGGTCCAGTGAGCACACAGAGACTGTGAAATAAATACCACGTCTTCCCTAGTTGGAACTTGCTGGGTTTCCAATGGTCCCAGCAACAGACAGTCTCCTCATTGAGTTTCTATGCTGTTGGAAGATAAAACAGGGCCTTCTGGACCTGTCTGTCATTTAGACACAGGGTGAGTCATATTTGACTGCATGCAGAACATGCCCTGGGCACTATGGATTCCAGGGACATTGGGAACCAAATAAAAATGGTGGTGGTGGTGGTGGTGGTGTGTGTGTGTGTGTGTGTGTGTGTGTGCTCGTGTGTGCGTGCATGTGAGGGGGTGGGGGAGCTGTGGTCATTTTTTATTAACTTGGGCATGGAACCACAGTTCTCCAGTGCCTGGAAAATGTCTGGTACATAATAAATGCTCAGTCAGGCCTCAATGTCCAAGGAATTCCTGAGTCAGAATCTTTTTCTTTCAGATATCAAGTCTTGAGTGTTGTTTTAGAGAAAGGGACAGTGCAAATTTGTAGAGAGAATTCCACCTACTATGTGCTGGGTTTTAAGTAATATCCTGGGAACACAGAGATGATGAAGACAAATGCTGCCTATATTGGGCTCAGTATCTACAGAGAGAACTCGTGGGGCTGGAGAGGTGGCTCAGCCATCAAGATAAGAGTACTACTCTTGAAGAGAACTAAGTTTGGTTACCAGTAGCCACTTTGGGTGGCTCACAGCCACCTGTAACTTCAGCTCTAGGGGATCTGACACCCTCTTCTAGTCTCCAAGGGCACCTGCATTTGAGTGCACAGACACAACACACGCGCACATGCACATACAATATTAAAAAATAAAACAAATATTTAAATAGAGAAGACACTTGTGTGACCAAGGGGACCCCAAAGCCGTTTGTGTCGTGACAGAAAACTGAGCTGGGGGAAGGGCGTTATGAGGAGATGAATGAGTAGCTATGCTTCCCTCCTGTACACTTCTCCAGGCAGAGCTCCAGGATTGTGGAGAAGCCTGGCTTTTGATCCAGCAGGGGGCTTGCCCTTTGCCCTCAGTCCTTGGCACTTTAACAGTGTTGCTATCATTATGGCTTTTCCCAGCTGATCAGCAAAGAAGATGATGCTTAGGCCAGTCTTGAAGAGTGTGGCAGATGGACTGGGGTGGGTGGGGAAGTATATTCCACACAGAAGACGGCAGCGTGGAGATGTGTAAAACCCTGCACGCTCTGGCTGTCAAGAAGGTTCGAGGCAGGGGCTGGCAGGAAGTGAGCCTGAGGTGTGAGCAGGGTGCTGGGCTGGAAGGCTGGGGTGTGGCTCTGTATGCTCCTGGACAGTTTCCAGCCTGGGTATGACAAACAAGGACATTCTGGTATTTGAGTGGTAAGTACAGTAGACACCTGGAAAGTAGGTTGGAGGAAAACAGCTGCATGGCTGTTACAGTAGCATAAAGAGATAAGGGTCCAGCATGGAGCGTGGATGATGAATCACCCCCACCCCGTGTGTGTGTGTGTGTGTGTGTGTGTGTGTGTGTGTGTGTGTGTGTGTGGCAGTCCAATTGAAGGAAGCACTGAAATTATTCTGTGAAGGTGCCCAGCGGCAAGCTTGCCCTTCCTCTCATCATGGTACGTATGATGGGAGCATCTCCAGGGCCCACTGGCTGATGCTGCCTAGCTCACTCTCTAGTCTGATGGGCACGATCACGATCTGACCTGGATGGAGACGTTACGTGGATTCCTCTTTTCACACATTTCCCTTTCACACCTTCATGGGATGCTCTGTCATCCAGGGTCAGCTCCCCCAGAAGCCCCTTCACGACCTGCCTCCCGGTCTGACTCTTGTCTCTGATTATTGGTGTCTTCAGGAGAGAATGCCCTTCTTCCCCTCTGCCCCAGGTATGCTGTTAATAGTCAAAATGCCAGGCTAGTGGCAGAAGTCAGGAAGCACAGTGGTCGGCTTAGGAGGCAGGTAGGGTACCGCGGGTCTCTTCCTGTCTCGATGGACCATCTGCATTTATACTCTTCCTATAAAACCAGAAGCTCTTGACTCAAGGGGTCAAAGCTACCGAAACAGGGGAAGCCCAGGTTTGACCCTTTGATCTCTGCTCACCAGGACAGTGGTTCTTAGTGTGAGGCTTGATAGACATCAGCAGCTGACAGGGGACCTTGTGGCAGGGTGAGGTGGCCTCAGTGGCCCAGAGCATGTGGCAGCAGAGGTTAGAACAGTCCTGATGTATAATTCACAGGTAACCAGGACCTGCTACTCTAGATGAAATCCCATCTGTCCCCTGGCCCTCCCCTGGGCACAGAAAAGAGCCTGCAGACAAGGGCTGCCTCCACCCAGGCCAGGGAATTGCCCAGTAACAGTGTCCAGCACCCCTTGTTTTGTCCCCAGCCTGTCACAAAGTCCCTCTTCTTCCCCGGGGAAATAGCACCAGACCTAATACAACAGGGCCCACATCCTTGCTGCCTGGCACAATGGGTTCCCATGGAGTACACAGTGTTTCTTATTGTGGCATAAAATGCCATAAAGTCAGAACAAAGAGAGCCCAGGGCCTGGATGGGTCGGCAGCTTCCTGCCAGGCAGAGAATACAAGTGATTGTTTAAAAGTCAGTGTTGAGGCAAGCGGCCCATTAGCACAGCCCTTCTCTCCACAGCCTGTAAATTGTGCCTGGCCCATCAGAAAGGGATTCTGCTATTCAGATCAATTGCTAAAAGGAAGACAGTCTGTTCATGCTGCCAAATATAGAAGCCCCGAAACAGCAAAGGTGACCCGGGTTATCACTGTGCCGTCCTTGGGACAAGCTAAACTCCACCAGTGCAGACTACCAGCCCTGATCATGAGCACCTTGGTGAGACGCAGGGAAGTCAGTCCTGGTACATTCTGAGGCCAGGCAGTTACACATCTGTTCACAATTGCATTGTAAACAATTCATGTCTCATTGTCTTCTCTCTCATAGTTGTCAAGAAATTACCCACAACCCAGACCGGAAGAAAATGAAAGTAGGTTTGGGGGTCCATCCTATCCTGCCCCCCTTTAAGGGTATCTGTCTGCTAAGTCATTTCTGTTCCTGCCTTGACCCTAATACTGTGGAAGGAAGTCATGACCACCACCCAGAGGCAAAAATAACCCCACAAAGCTTGGGAAACTCTAACCTTCACTAACAATCAATCAGGAAGGCTGGATGTGGAGCAGATAAGAATTTTAATTCATCCTGAAACCAAGGAAAAGGGTCAGCTAAGAGGAAGCTAGTGTTTTTCTCCATAGGATACTCTGGCTTTCAGCCCTTGATGAGGTTCTGTTGTTTTGTTTTTGTTTTTGTTTCCTGCCAGGATCCTGTCTGGGATTTTCCTTCACAGATCCTAAAGGCAGGCTGGTTATCCAGTACCAGAGAGAGCATTCCTTTGACAAGCAAGTGTTTTGAATGGATTTTGATTCCATTGAACACCATCAAGTGTTGAATTTAGAGGCTGAACCAAGCAAACAGGTCTCCAGCCTCCTTCAGACAGGTTCCTCATTCCATAAAAATTCTCCCTGGAGAAAGTGAGCCTAATTTAAGCAGAGGGTGCAGAGGCAGACTCTATCTACAGAGAGAATAAGTGTAGCAAGAAATAGAGGGATGTGACAACTGAGTCCATCTGGGTTCTTGGAGGAGAAATTTTACAACAGCCTGCCCTGCCCTGAAAGCTTAGGAGAGTGACTCCCACGTTGGTATCATCAACAACTTACCCTAAACACAGATTCCTGGGCCCTCCCATGGACTCCACTCCAGAGATGAGGTGGGGCTCTGGAATGTGTCTTTCACGCACAACCCACAGACAGGGTTGATACTGCCCATTGTGGGGATCTTTGTGAGCCCCTTCCCCGCCCCCGACAAATAAATACCTGGCCAGAAGAGACATTGCACCAGTCCAGAGCTCCCAGGGTGGGGCCCGGACTGCAACCCCAAAGAAGCCAGCTTGCTATTCAGGGCACGCAGTTCTAGGGAGCCAGGCTCTCCATGCTCAGGGATGGGAAAGGCCCTTTCTTCTCTATACAAAAGGAGCTCCTGGAGCCCCAATCCTCGCGCGATTGTGGGGTCCAAGCCAGCCTGCCCGACCGCCTGGAGCCCCCTAGAGCGAAGCCACAGGACTGTTCGCGCAGTCGTCCCCTCACTCCGGCTTGCTGCCTGGGTGCAGTAGGGAAGGCGGCGGTGCGGTGTCTAAAAGACCTTTGTGTCGCCGCCCGCACACACCTCCTCCCGGGGACCGCACCTCGGCCAGGCTTCTGCGCACGGGTTATCAGCGTGGCCTCGGCGAGGGCCTCGTGCTCCTACAGGGACGTGACAAGCAACAGGGCTCGGTCCCCAGCTGGGAGACCTGCAGAGGGTCCTGTCGCCCGGGGCCCCGCCCCGCCTCGGGGGCGCCCGCAGCGCTACCCGGTTGGGAACCTGCGAGGCCGGGCGCGTCCGAGAGGGTTCAACTGGGCAGGGGCGCCCCCTAGTGCCTCATGCGACCGCTGAGTCCTGCAGCCGAGGAGGGCTCCCCCAGACCCAGGGACCGTGCACTGCATCAGGACCGGAAGAGCAGCCTTCACTTCTAAACCTGCATCACAGGAGGCTGCTCTTCCTAGGGGATGTTTAGAAAGGAATATCGACCCCCGTAGTCGCCCATGCAGATTGCTGCGAGTTCTAAACCAGCCTACATTGTATAGTGAGGTCCTGGCCATTTGTCTCAGCCACCACCAACAAAAATAAGTCTCCGCCGAGAAAAAAAGGATTTGCTTCTCTCTCCCTTGCTCCCGTGCAGATGGTCCCTCTGATTGTCTGCCATCATTTGCTATCTCAGTCGGGAGCTGGCCTATAGTCAGAATCGATCATTCACAGGCAGGCCATAGGGCAGGCAGGAGGTTGGTTCTTTCCTGGAAATACAGGCCAGGTTCCTTCTACCTGCCCCTAGTCCTATACTCTCCCCAGATACTGGGATGCGGGGTGAGGGTAGGAGAGTCAACAGGCTGTGCAGAGCCCAGGATAAAGGGACCAACACACTGCTTTCAATGATTGACCACTAGCAGCCCTTACCTGTCTCTGTGCCAAAGCCACTATCAAGAGAAAAGCCAGGCACCAGAAGCAGAGCCAGAGGAAGCCAGCCCTCCCCCTTGGCCACACTCCTCTTCGTTGACCCTCAAGCCTGGTATGACTCACCTGGTTGGCAGCATTTGGTTAATATGGCCTGCCAGCACTGAGTCACAGCTAAGTCCAGGTAAATAAACACAGAAGGAAAAGACAAAACATCAGGGCACAAAGGGTGGCACACAAAGGTGCCAGCCACCTTGTGGCCCTGTGGTGCCAACCCCAGCCTTCTTACTGGGTGCCTTTCCCTGAACCAAGGACCCCACCAGTAACACCGAGGTGGGGGCATCTCAGGCGGATTCCTAGATGTGAGCCAACCTGTTACAGGGCTCTTGACCCAGCTTCTCCGACAGCTACTTCCCAGCTGGCACAAATGACCATGACTGTAGCCAAGACTAAGGCCAGGAAGAGTGTGCATCACCTGCTGATATCATGCAGGTGATGAGCAGGACACAGACAAGCCAACTCGGACAGCGTGGGTGAGGAAGCTGGGACACCCAGAGTAGCTGGGGCTTCCTTGAGACCAGAAGCAGTGATGAGAGGGTTGGGTATGAATGTCAAGGTGTCCCTGCTCCTGTTCCTCGAACATCTTCAAGTGTTTCTGCTTAGTCTGGGATGCTTCCTCAAACCAAGACAAAAAGAAGCATCTAGAAGAAGAATCTCCCTGAGAATAAGGGAACCCTTCTCCCATTCCATGTGCTGCACTTGGACTTTCGCCCCTCACCCAATGCCACCCAACCCCGCTCCTTGCCATCACCCCCCACACTCCCAATCGCGTTAGGCCATAAACTTGGAAACCTCATCCTGAGAGAAGGCAAAGGCTCTTCCAGCTATTCAGCCTACAAACTTTATCACCACGCTGCCCAGCAGAGACAGCTGAAATAGATTCATCGAGCAGCCTGCTGTCCAGTAGCCCCTGACCCAGCTGGAGTTCCAGTGCACAGTCTAGAGATTTCCCCAGCCCCAGAAAAAAGTGTTCGTTCCCCCATACTGTCCCATAGTCCATTTCCGTCTGTGTGTGCGCGTGTGTGCGTGCGTGCGTGCGTGTGTGTGTGTGTGCGCGCGCGTGTGGTCACTGGGGTCAGAGCGGGAGAAGGAAGGGCAGTGGTGCCAGGCCCCGTGTGGCAGCCCCTGAAGTCTGCTGTGGCCCCCGGAGCCTGAGAGATTGTCTTGCTTTCTAGGTTCCGAGTCGGGAGATGGTAATGAAAGCAGTGTTTACCCAGGCGGGGTCATCTAGCGAGGTGGAGGAGTGCAGCAGAGACCGCTCCACCCGGATGCCCTCTCTCCGCCCCCCGTGCGTCCCTTCTTCCCTCCTCTTTACTGAAACTGAAGCCAATGTGTTCACAGTTGCCATTCTCACCTGCGCCACTCCGTTCAGGGGTCTGGCTTGAGCATCCACGGGCAGCCACAGGGACCAACCTCATCCCAGCCAACCCAGGCAAAACAGCCGAGTCCCACGTGGGCTTTCCTGCTGCAGCTCCTCAGCCCAGTAGCCCAAGTGGACCCAGCAACCCTGGCAGCCCAGCAGCCTGGGCTCCCACTGCTGAGGGCCTCTCCTCTGTTCAGGCCTCAGCCCACCCTGAGTGGAGTGGAGCCTTGCATTCAGTAAACTGACTTTATTCTCCCACCTCGTTTTGTGTTTATTTCCCTTCCAGGCTTCAGCCCACTCCCACCCCCATTTCATTTCTAATTGCTGCCCACCCCCAGAGTCTGACGCATCTCAGGTTCCCTAGGGCTGGGGTGAGCTGGGTCCCATTTAGGATCAGTTGTGGGCGTGTGCTCTGTGATTTTTCTCCTCATCGCATGTAAGGAATCAAAGACCGCTGAGACTTGGGTGACTAAAAAAACGAGAGGTGGGTTGTAGGGAAATCGTGTATGGTGTGGAGGGCATGAGGAAGAGAAGAGAGCGCCAGTCAAGACTGGTGGCAGACTCCTGTAGTTCCTGTAGTCTCAGCACCGGGACAGAAGGATTATAAATTGGAGGCCAGCTTGGGCTGTGAAGCAAGACCCAGTCTCAGAAATCTAGAGAGAAAAACAGAGACAAAAATAGGCTTTTAAAAGATGGTGGAAAGGAGCAAGTAGCATCGAAAGATGTGCGCTAAGTGAAAGAAGCCACACTCTAAAGCCTTGATAGTCTGTGATTCCACTTGTATGGAACTTCTAGAAAAGGCAAGTCTATGGAGGCGGAAAGCAGATCTGTGGACTCTGGGAGGCGAAAAAGAAACAGGGACTGGAGGTGAGGAAGGTGTCATAGAGTGGTTACATGATGGCAGTCACAGAATGGCAAATTTGATCAAATCCATTGAACTGTATGATTGCAGTATGGGGTATGACAGCCTGATTATGATACTTGTACATCCCTAGATGTCCTCAAAAATAGGACACAGGGAAGAAAAAGGAGGAAAAAGAGAAAGGTAAAGTGAGAGACAAGGGTTGGGGATATAGCTCAGTTGAAAGAGTACTTACCTTGCATGCATAAAGCCACTGGGTTCATCGTCTGCACCACGTATATGATGTGTGGTTATGCTTGTCTGTGACCCCAACATTCAAGAGGCAGGGGCAGGAGGACCAGAAGGTCAAAGTCATCCTTAGTTACATAGCTCGAGGTCAGTCTGGGCTACATAACTCCCTGTCAAAAACCAGAGATAGACAGGAATGGATAGTCTGAAAATAAGAACAAAAAGTATAAATACATATATGTGCATACATGTGATAGTACCTTAATGAATCCATCATTTATTTATTCATTTTAGTGTTTAAGACAGGGCTTCTCTGTGTCGCTTTGGAGCCTGTCCTGGAACTCACTTTGTAGACCAGGCTGACCTTGAATTTACAGAGATCCACCTGCCTCTGCCTCCTGAGTGCTGGGATTAAAGGCACCACCACCCCTGGCCCATTTATTTTTAATTATTTAGATTTATTTTAATTATATACAGTGTGTATGTGTGTGTGTTTTGCTTGCATGCATGTATAATGCACCACATATGCCCAGGGCCTGCTGAGGTCAAAACAAAGCATCCAATCGCTTGAGACTGGAATGACTGACAGATAGTTGTAGGCCTCCATGTCGATGCTGAGATTCAAACTCTGGTCCTCTGCAAAAGCAACAATCACTCCAATTCTCTAGCTCTAAGTAAATAATATTTAGAAAAAATATTTATTTGCCTAATGGGTGTGGTAATTTGAATATGTGTAGCCCCCATGTGTTTGAATGTTTGGCCCTTAGGGAGTGGCACTATTAGGAGGTGTGGTCTTCTTGGAGTAGGTGTGGTCTTGTTAAAGGAAGTGAGTCTCTTTGGGGGCATTGAGGTCTCATATGCTTAAGCTATGCCCAGTGTGGTACACAGTCTCCTGCTGCCTGCGGATCAAGATGTAGAACTCTCAGCTCCTTCTCCAGCACTGTGTCTGCCTTCTTGCTGCCATGTTCTGCCATGATGATAATGGACTAAACCTCTGAACTGTAGGCCAACCCCAATTAAATATTTCCCTTTATTAGAGTTGCCATGGTCATGGTGTCTCTTCACAACAACAAAAACCCTAACTAAAACAATGAGTTCATTGTGGTGTTATCATATATAAACAAAATTTAGACCAAACAAATTTCTTCTTGCCTTCAAGACCCCAGGACATGCCCTGTGCCCAGCCTGGCTCTTTCCTGCAGGCTCAGGATAAGACACTGCAGCCTGAAGTGAATAATGAGAGTGATGAAGTTTTAGGAAAACTAGTCTGGGCTACCTAAATCTTGACCCATCCCTCTGACGAGTTCCATTTAAACAAAGTGATACAACTCCCGGAAATAAATGGGTTCAGCCAAGCCGCCAAGACCCAAGATCAGAGGTAAAGGTGAACATCTTTGCTCGTTAGTAAATACTAGACAGCCTAATTTGCCAGTAGCTCCATGGTCTAAATGAAACGCAAAGCTTCAAGTGCTTAGGTTCAAACATAGAAAAATGGGCCTTTGTTTTTTAACTGTATTTTAAAATTGAGTGAAGATTTGTCCAAGAACCAGTACTGAAAACCATGGAAGAGAGGATAATGCACTTAAAAATAAGTTATATAGGGCCTAGAGAGATGGCTCAGTGATTAAGAGTGCTAACTGCTTACCCAGAGAACCCAAATTCAATTCCCAGCACCAACATGGCATCTCACAACCATCTGTGACTCCAGTTCGAGGCATCTGCTGTTCTCTTCCGGATTCTGTTGGTCTCTGTGGAAACCAGGCATGCATGTGGTACACAGGCATATAGGCATATATACAAACAAGCTACCTTTTTTTTTTTTTTTTGGTTTTTCAAGACAGGGTTCCTCTTGTTTTGGAGGCTGTCCTGGAATCAGGCTGACCTCAAACTCACAGAGATCTGCCTGCCTCTGCCTCCCAAGTGCTGGGATTAAAGGCGTGTGCCACCAACGCCCAGCTCAAACTACCCATTATATTTAATAAACACATTTTTAAAATTATAAAGCCAGGCAGTGGTGGTATGATGGGGAATGGTTTTCTGTATATGTTTGTCTTATTGGTTGATAAATAAAACACTGTGGCCAATAGGGCAGCACAATAAGGCAGGTCTAGGAGATGAGGATTCTGGGAAATGTAGGCAGAGGGAGACACGAGGTAGACCACAATGGAGTAAGAGGTCTGGACCTTTTCTCTGGTAAGATAAGACCACATGGAAATACTTACATTGATAGAAATAGGTTAGAAATTAAGTCAGAGCTAGCCAATAAGAAGCTCTAGATATTGGCCAACAGCATTATAATTAATATAACATCTCTGTGTTATTTGGGGGCTCTGAAGTGGCTGCAGAACCAGGCAGGAACACTGTTACAGTGGCACATGCCTTTAATCCCAGGAGGCAGAGGCAGGCAGATATCTGTGAGTTCGAGGCCAGCCTGTTCTACAGAGCTGGGTCCAGGGCAGGCTCCAAAGCTACACAGAGAAATTCTGTCTCGAAAAACCAAAATAAATAAATAAAATTATAAAACTAAGTTGTATAAGCTGGATATGGTGGCAACAGGGCCCAGAAAAAAAGGGGGAGAGAGGCATGGAGCCCAGACTCGCCAGTACAAAAGTTCACATACAGAAAGTCACATCAAGGTAATGCGAGCCTGTGGGCTCCACTTACGGGGCACTTCTTGTGGACTGACCTAGGGCTAAATAAGCCCTTGATGTCTCTCTGTAATCCCCAGTCAGCCATGTTGCCTGGAAAGAAACTTACCCTCAGGAGCTCAAGTAGTATAATGTCTAAGTCTGTTGAACAAAACTATGCACCTGACCCCTGTGATCTGTTGCAAAGAGAAAAGGTAGCATCCTTAAGCAGCTCCAATCAGAGAATGCAGAGCTCCCAGAGGCAAAGGGTGCAGCAAAAAGCCCCTGGAAGAAAGGCTGAAGAGCACTGGCTGCTCTCCCAGTGGGCCCAGGGTTCAATTCCCAGCACCTACATGGTGGCTCACAGCCATCTCTAACCCCAGTTGCAGGGAATCCAGTGTTCTGGCCTCCATGGGCACCAAGCATGTGATACACAAACATATGTACAAAACACCCATATGCATTTTTAAAAAGTGCTGGAAGACAGGAGAGAACAGGAAGAACTTTTGGTGGCTTGTGGAGTTCAGGAGAGGAGGAGAGGGGAACCAAGATGGAGGAGGAGGCTGTCGATCAGGGATAGCACATGTGTTAGCAATTATTTACTGCATATGAGGGAATGGAGACTATGGAATACTGTTTATATATCTTATACAACAGACTTGAACATCCTTGGATGTAGATAGCAGCAGCAGCGCCTGGAATCGCAAGGGAAGGATGTGCTTAATATTTTGTTGTCCTTACCATGGAGGACACCATGCACATTCCCCAGATTCCAGGGAAGGAAGGACAGTCAGTACAAAACCGCAGAAGTGAGCATGGAAATACAGTAACAGAAGGCCAGGTGTCCCCACCCTCACCCTAGACACCCACAATAACAGAAGGCCAGGTGTCCCCACCCTGCACCCTAGACACCCACAGTAACAGAAGGCCAGGTGTCCACACACTGCACCCCTAGACACCCTACAGATCTCACATGAATCTGGAAGTGACAAGACAGCATGGATGGGAACAGAAAAATGTCACTGGGATCCCCAGAAAAGGCTAAATCTGAAGTCTTCCACCAGCTGATAAGAGACCTGTATTTGGCTCCTCTGAATACATGGCCCTGAACCCTGGTGCCACCTGGAATTTAAGCAGCCTCCAGTTACTCACTCCTCTCTCGTGTGTTGGTAACTGCTTGCTTTCCACACGGGGAAGAGTTAAGATCAGCCCCTCCCCCTCGCTGGAACTGCTTCTTATGGGACAGCAAAAGGCTGAAGCCAGCCTTTTCCTGGGGCCCCTTGGCAGCGCCCTCCGAGAAAACTCAGGCCCGCAGGGATGTCTGGGCACTTACCTCATGCTGAGCCCCTCATGGCCCCTCAGCAATTCCTCGACCCCCTTCCTTCCTTTGGTCTCCCCCACAATGCTGGCTCTTTGCCTTGTGTCTGCCAGAGACTCCTGGCCCTACTGCTCTGGGCGGCTTGGCCAGGTTTGGGCAGCAATGTTCCAGGATAGCCATGTGCTGAGGCTGGCTGGCTCCTCGCCCCCACGGCCTCAGAGAGCTGCCCACTGGGCCAGTCCAGCTCTGCCAGGGTACCTGGGAAGAGGCCATCTCTGACGTGATGGGAGGCTGGGGGAACGCTGTTCTCTGGAGAGCTGCCCCGCCTCCCTGTTCATTCATGGATTCACTGAGCTGTCACTGAATGAGCAGGTGGGCCAAAGCTGGGCCGCTTCAGGCCTTCAAGTGAGGGTTGGGCCCTGTGCCTGGTAGACAGTGCCCTTTGAGCAGGCTGGGACAGGTCTCAGGCCATCTGCCACTCAGCAGGCTCAGCAAAGAACCTGGCGCATAGAGGAGGTGCTTCGAGTTTATTGAACTGCACCCCGCCAGGTGAGAGGCTCTGTCACATGCTCCAGAACCAGAGCTGTCTGGGAGCCAGGGGGCAAGCGGCCAGGCCCCAAGTCTTCTTCCTGATCTGGTGGAGAACCACAGGAGCATTGCCTACTGGGCAGACAGGGCCACCAGCATGGAGGCTGAGAACCTGCTCACTCAGGAGCCCCAGGGCCTAAGACGCTGTAGGCCAAACTTGCTTGTGAGTGTGGGCTCTGGCAAGACTCCAGTCACCAGAGGAAAAAAAGAGAAAAATTAGCATGTCAGGGTTGGGGGAGTCGCTGCGGTAAGAGCCTGAGTTTGGCTCCCCAGAACCCACATAAAACCCCAAGGCAGCAGTCCATGCTTCTAACTCTAGCCCTGGGGAGGTAGAGCTAGGTAGATCCCTGGGGCTGCTTAGGTCAGCTGGCTTGCTTACTCGGTCAACTGCTCACACATACACATACAAACACACGTAGACATACACACGTGCACTCAAGAAAATAGATGCCAAACACCACTCCTGGGTTACCCTGGACATTTGGGGTGTCATTCCTTCAAATGACCCAAGAGATCCCAACAACAGTACTTTTCCCCACCCTGCTCTCCCGGGACACGGGTCAGCAGTATCCAAGGGGAACCTGCACTGCCAGAGAGGCTCCCAGCAGCTGTCAAGCAATCCCTGAGCCACGGCCAATGAATGGCACAAAGGGGCTATTCTGGTCTCAGTTTGGAAAGCAAATCACCTGAGGGTAAAGTGTGTTAATCATTAAGGACCTTTCTGTGGGTTGGGGTTCCCCATTCCCGAGTGGCTGGCCTGCCCACCTCGCATGGATCCTGCTGTTAGAGTTGCAGGGCAGGGTGCTCCCACTCAGGGAAGTCCCATCTGAGGCAGTAGTCCTCTTCATCCTGCAGTCCTGGAGGGAAGCCTGTGGTACCTCCTGATCCCCCAGAGAGCACCCGATGCCACCTCAGGCAAATCCAACACTCCTGTTCTCCAGGCAAATCCAACACTCCTGTTCTCCAGGCAAATCCAACACTCCTGTTCTTCCTCGTGCTCTCCCCTTGAAACAAACACTGGAAAGAGATATGGAAACCAGCAGGGCAGAAGTCTTCAGGATGGATGGGGTGGGGGGTGAGGGAGAGCCTTCAGCGTGTTTCCTCAGGCATCCCTTTCTATCCCTTAGACTTTGAACCATGTGACTGCATTGCCTATTCAAAAGACAAACAAACAGAAAAGTAGGACCAGGATGTAGAAAGTCACCAACGGGACAGGTCTGAGAACAGGAGACCTTAACCGTGGCTATCGTCTTGGTCAAAGAACCCACCCTCTCCTGAGGTCTGAATTTATTACTGGAGCTTCCTCTGCGTGGCCTTCCTGCTTTCACTCCCCTACTTCCCTTCCATTGTCTCTGTCCCCCACCCCAGTCACAACCATTGTGCTAAAGGTCAGGTTAGCCGTTCCCACAGAAAGCGTTCTTCCCAATGCCCACACTGCCCACTGCCCCACATAGCCACTCTCCTGCCCTGGCCCAGGCGTTGGCTCTCGGCACCTTCCTTCTCCTTCAGGCTCACTCTCCCGCCCCATGGTGGGGACCTCCCCATAGTCCACTCATCTTCCCTCACTACAGCCCTTTGTTTAAGTGTTTCCAACTCAAACACCTGCTGAATCCAAGAGGATGAAGAAGGGAACTCCTGGCAGGCAGAAGGCAGGTATGAGAGATAGCCCTGAGAGAAGGGTGCTGAGGAAATGTCACTCCTCAAAGTCCCGCCCAGAAAGTAACAACAGCAGGGGGCTGACAGGATGGCTCAGTAGGTAAAGATGCTTGCTCAATACTGACCGTCTGCGTTTGATCCCTCAGACTCACACAGTGGAAGGAGAGAACTGACTCCCACAAGTTGTCCTCTGACCTCCACATGCATATTGCAGTTCTCTCTCTCTCTCTCTCTCTCTCTCTCTCTCTCTCTCTCTCTCTCTCTCTCTCTCTCTCTCTCTCTCTCTCTCCTCTCTCTCTCTCTCTCTCTCTCTCACATACACATGCACACACGCACACCATGCACACACACACACCATGCACACACACACATACACCATGCACACATGCACACACACACACACACACACACACCATTTATGGAGTGTTTACTGTGTGCTCTCAAAGTCACTCGGTGAGGATACTCTTCCTTCATCCTTAGGCATCCTCCCAACAGCCCAACCCCAGGAGACGGCTCCTCTGTGCCTACTCACGCTCAGTGGCCCAAGTTCACGTGCTTATGGGCAGGAGTTCTTCAAGAATAGAGAGAATGAGCAGGGCCAGAAGGGTGATGAGAGGAAGTGTCCCCAAGAGCTCAGAGGCAACACGACAGGCTACACAAACCACAGGATAGAGCCTGCAAGACTGTCTTTTCTCTCTAAAGGGACGCGGGGACACAGCTGACAAAGGACCAGGAACACTCATATCTCAAGCCTCTGGAAGGTGTTTTATTTGTTTGCTTTTCTTTTTATTTTCTTTTTAAAAAAAACAATAATAGCACATTTAGAAAATCAAGAACTACAATAGAGCGTCTGTGTCTTTGAGTTTTTGTTCACATTGCCCCGCACTGGGACACGCACTGGGACACGGGGACGGGCGCTCTCCATCCTTGCTGGGTCCCTCCTCTTGAAAAGGTGCTGAGCAGCTCCAGGAGCCAGGCGCTATTCCCCTAGGACACAGCAGATGGTAGCACCCGGTGCTGTCCTAGGCCACTGCCTCTCCAGGGTCCCTGCAACCTCTTCCCCCTCTCCAAACCAGAGCCTGAAGCTGGAGACACTAGGGAACTTATTTTGGTCCCCACAGGGGACTCTTTCAGGGACAGAGCCCTCCCCCGGCCAGCAGGAGATGACACCCCCTTGAGTGGATAAGGTGTCCCTCCCTGGTCCCATCTCCACTCCAACAGACACCACACTGGTGCCCCAGTTCTTAGACCTGAGCCACCTAGGCCCCTTCTGCCACACCCTAGGTCCATTCCAGCAGGCACAGGACTGACAGATAGACAGATGCTTAGGGAGAGAGAGAGGGAGAGAGAGAGAGAGAGAAAGAGAGAGAGACAGAGAGACAGAGAGACAGCGAAAGACAGAGAGAGAGAGGGATACAGAGAGAGAGAGGACCCTCCCCCAGGGCCTTGGCTCAGAAGGAGGCACTGGGTTAGAAAGGCTTGAGATGGATGAGAACAGATGTGAGGGCTCGAGGGTGGGGTAAGGAGACAGAGCTGACTGACGTAGCCATGAAGGAGGACAAAAGCGACAGGGAGCCACCCTAAGGGACGGGGCTGGCTTTCTCGGCCTGCACATAGGAAAGAGTCCTAGGCTGTGGGTCAGCAGCTTAGGCTCGGGGATCTGGGGAGAAAGAGGCAGAAATAAGCTCTTGTTTCCCTTCTCAGGTTGCCTCCCGTTACCAGGAGGGTTCAGGCCCAGGTGACAAGGTCCCAGGACCAGGAGGAAGGGGAAATGCCCCACTGCGCTCAGCCAGGTCTCAGCCTCGCATGTGCGGGAGGCTGGGAACTCCCATCCCATCGCATGCTCAGCCCCCGGCTCCCAGTGGCAACTCCCAAGGGTTGCCGTCCACAGACCAACTGGACTGGTGGGTGATGGGGACCTGTTGACCTGGAGCCCCTGCCTCCCCAGTTCCAGCCCCACCCTGACCACGCCCCAGGCTCTATTCTTGTTGCTCATTCATTTCCATGTCAGACACTAGGATGTTCTTCTCCGTGGCCTCTGCTGGGCCAGAGCTGCTGCTGCGACTGTAGCGGGCCCCCTCAAAGGATCTACGCTCTGTGCTGTGTCGGCGCCGGTAGAGGATGAGGGCTGCTGTCACCAAGGCCAGGAAGAGCAGCACAGCCATCAGCACCACCACCAGGGCCACCGGGTTCTCGGGAAGCGCTGCTGAGATAGTGATGGGGAACGCACATCAGGCCACAGCCATGCCCACCAGGGACAGAAGATCGAGGCTCCGGGCTTGTCACCTCCACTCACCCGATGGCAGGAAGCTGTTCTCTCCCGCTGTAGAAGACGGAAGAGCCATTAATCACAGTCAGTCCTCATAGAAATCACAGTCACCATGTAAGCACATGCCTGGGACGTGCTCTCCCAATGTCACTTTGCAAACCCACTGAGCATCCATGACGCCCTGACCCGACTACCATGATTCCCATTTCAGATATGAGAAGTTCAAAGACTTGCCTCAGAAGGAAGAGGTATCTCTGTGCGTGGTCTGTGTCTATGTTCTCATAGGTGAGTGCGCCGCACGTGTGCATGTGTGTGGAGGTAGGAGGTCAGTGTTATGGTGTATCTTGATGGCTTCACTTTTTTTTTCTGTGAGACAGGGTCTAATTGCTGAACCTACAGCTTATGATCCAGCTATCCTGGCCGGCCAATGAGCTCTCACTTCAGACACACGCATATACCCCTTCCCGTCATGGGGTTACAGACGTGTGCTGGGAATCTGAACTCATCCTCATGCTGGTGTGACAGGCACTTTACCAACTGGACCATCCATGCCCCTAGGCCTCAGAAGGCAGAGCTGGTTGGTGAGTGATCCTCCCGGGACTTGAACCACGTCCCTTGTCCTTAACCACCAGAGAATGACGGAGCTTGCTGACTCCTGGCGCTTGCTGCCCACTTTGGAAATTAAGTCTCAGGGTCAGTGTTTACTACGGACTAACGGTGTCCCACCCACGGCATCTGCCCCTGTGCACCAAGGCCCAGCTGTGGGCACGGAGGGCTGAGCCACTGCCTCCTGAGAGCCTGGCTTACCTCTGGGGAGCTTGCACACAACTCCCATGGTGATGTTGGTACAAGCGCCAGGGCGCCACAGCCCGCTGCTGCTCTGGATCCAATAGCAACTGTTGTGGCTCAGCATGCTAGGGCCCAGGCCAGGCGGCCCCCAGTTAGAGTAGTTCACAGCTGTGTTGTCGTGCCAGACAAGCATGCCTCCTGTGGAAGGAAGGCGCTGAGGAGATGTGAGGAGGGGAACAGGAGGGGCATTTATAGGTGGGAGGGAGCAGATAGTCTCTCACCAACCTCCCTGACCGCTCTCCTTTTCCAAGCATCTCTCCTGCAGCCTGAGCCCCGGGCCCTCCCCATACCTTACACAGGGCACCCACCTTTGGGGTTGAAGTTCATGCCCAACCAGGCTCCTCGACTCTGGGCCTCGAAGGTCTGCAGGTGCTCCCAGACAAACACATTCTCTATCTCATCAACAATGGACAGAACTGTCCCACCCGCTGGACACAAAGGAAGCCCGTGTCAGGTGGGACAGAGCCTCCTCGTGTTGATAGAGCCCCGCCCACCCCCGGTCACAGTGGTCCCGCCCTCTTCACTGGCAGCCCGAGTCTCAGCATGTGTGTACCGTTGCATATACTGTACATGTCACAGTATGGTCTGCGTATTAAAAGGTGAGAGAATTTGGGGTAAGTACTACCTACAGGCAAGAAGTCAAGTTCCTTCTCCAGCTCTGAGAGTCTGGGCGCTGGGCTGGCCTGCTCCCACCCACCTTTCTGGCAGCGCTGCAGCGCCTCCTTGTGGCCCAACAGCAGCTCCATGTGGAAGGAGTAGCAATGATCCCTGAAGGGAATCCAGGACGAGTCAGGCAGCCCCTGGGGACAGCTGCCACGGTAGCTTATCCTTCGAGGAGGAGGGGGCCCTGTCGGAGCACAGGATTGAGGTTGTGACCCAAGCATCCTCTCAGGACCACATGCACACGCCCAAGCCTTGCCCCCCCCTCCCCGCAGGTGGTACTCACCCCTGCTCACCCCACACACTGCCCCCTGCAGCTTGGTATCACAGCTGGTGGTGCGCCAGGTACCATCGACATCCACGTAGGCACAGCCTCCCGACTGCTGAGGCTCCCCATCTTGCCAGCTCACGTAATTCAGGGGCTCCTCTGAGAGCCAGGAATACCGCCTGGAGCCCTGGACGTGAGGTGACCACGGGCGAGAAGAAAGGGGATGGACTCTCAGGAGGGAGGAAGGGAAATCAAGGGCAGAGGGTAGGGAAGACAAAAGCTTGACTTAAGAGCCCACCTCCTCACTGGCCAGCCCAATCCACAGTGGTGCTTGCAGCCCCCTGGCAGCCTGTGTGAGGTAGGCCTGGGTGTAGGGGTCAGGCACATACGCCAAGCTGGCATTCCGGCTCTCGCACAGCAGGAGGGCGTCTTGCCAGCGCAGCGGCTTCTGCAGCAGCCGGAAGGTGCCGTTGAGGTAGGAGAGCTCAGTGCCAGGGGCAGGGGGCGTTGCTGCTGGGGATGGGCTCAGGGAGGGGTCTACAGGGAAGGGGGGCAGGGCTCAGGCTGGGCTCTGCCCCCCTTACCCCGTTCCCAGGTATAAGGCTAGGTCA